TATGTGTTTTTGTGTTTGTAGGTATAGTTGTTATTCTAACAAGTTGCTATAATAATCTGCAAAAAAATGATTCTATGCATGCTAAATGGAGCTGAGAGTTTACTTGTGAGAGACTAGTCCAGTTGTTACAGTGGATGATGTAGACATCACATTCTTTCCAGCTACCTCAACAGCATCACAAATTCTGCCTGTTAACAACAAATTTCACATTATAATTAAACTCATATTACTACGAAAGTCGCAGGTTTGAATAACTGAAGACAAATTGAATATGTATGTATGAACCAGCAGACAGAATGTAAGTCCAAAGTATTTCTCTATAAACATATAGTCCTAACTGAAACAAGATAAATATCAAATTCTATTCTAATCACAATCATGGACCTGTGATTGGGTGGGGGAGCAAGCAATATAAAGGTGTGATTTACATCTACTTATTTTTCATAATGCAACCGACAAAGATTTTTCTTCCATAATAGTTCATATGAAGTCCCCAGTGTAACGGGCTGAATCAACAGTTCAGTTACACTTGAAACTTTGGTTAGTCTTTCCTTCCATGCTGGAAACTGGAAAGAGACCTATATTTTCATTTCCAAGAAACTCACTGCTAAAAAAATCAAGTGTACGGATGCTTTAACATTCCCTTACAAACAAACAAGTGACCCGTCAACACTAGCTGCTATGGAAACCCCAGATACATGCATAAGTTAAAGTTAATTGAATCATGAAATATTATGCATCAAGAATCTACTGATCACCTTATCGGCTTATCCTAACTCCACAAAAAGTGAAGGCAAAAACAAAGAAGAGACTGCAGGGAATTCCAAGTAATGATTGTAGATGAATAAGTACAGTGGATAGTAAAAGGAAGGAAATTGATGGATCTTTATGTAATCAACTAAAACTTTATATACTAAGCAGGAGGTAAAAAATCATGATTATGAAGAAGAATAGAACCAGCATTTGAAATAAAAGGAGAGATCTTTGACATACTAAATCCATCCAGTGTGGCGAGTACCATTTCCCCGGGCAAGAGGCCAAGGAACTTCTTTCCTACTGAGGAGTTTGCAACAGAGCTGGTAAAAAATCCCGAAACCTTAACAACTCCTGAAAGGACGCCAGTTGCTACTTTCTCAGTCATACTTGTCACCCTTTTAACCCTGTGAAAACAACCAAACAAACACCACATAAATTCAATACAACTTTCTCCAGTTATTAAAGCCTCCAGAATATATATTCAGTCCTAGATACAGTGGCAAAAATAAACCAAAGTAAAAGATTTATCATCTCCTGCAAGATCGAGGATGCAAGACATGTTTTTGTTTTTCCTTTCTGGATAAGCAACACTTGTAACACCAATTCTGAGTTAGTTCTTGCTCATATCATCGGTCTAATTGAATTAACAAAACATCATATACAACTCCCAAGATTTATAGGCAAAGCCTTTTTACTCATTTACAGAAACCAGTTATTAACACCCATGATAATGATAACATAAACATATCATTACATGTTCTTATTCTTAAATTACAAATGACATTATTACTCTATTATAATACTAACAACCAGAGTTGTTTCCATACATAGAATCGTAACAGGTTAGCACACAGCAAACAGATTTAGGGTGCTCTAGTAAATAGACATCTAAATCAATATGTTCAGACCTTAACAAAGATAGGCGAATTTGAAAAGCAGAAGACGGAAAATTGGAAATGTCAGGAAAAGACAATATCCAAACTCCTATTTCATTTATAACAACAAAACTTTTCATCCTTTCTTCCCACTCTCTCCCCCATTTCGAATATTCGTCTTAGATCTTAAACATTAACAATTTGACTAACTCGGATGGAAAAAATGAACCACAAGTGAAAGACAGCTCGAGCACTACACATAAATGGTATAGAAGCATATATATTATATAGAATTGCAAATAGAAAAACAGGCACACCAAATTAAAAGTCTGGGAAAGCATATAAGCCAAACCTCCGGATCCTTTTCATGGTCTCAGGACTAACCTCAGTCTTGGAACCAGAGGTCATCCTGTTCCTCAGAACCTCATCCCCCGACTTCAGACTGTCAACGGTAACATCCCCGCACCACAAAATCCCCTTTATCAGCTTCCCTGACCCGGAAGCCATCAATCTCGCTGCTGAGCTACTGTAATCCTCCACATTGGGCGCCAATGTGGTCCAATAAGCGGCGCACCGCCCTTCCAACACCTCCTTCTTCTTCTCTGACTTCAAGTCGGCCGGGGACACCTCCTTCGCCACCGGCCCTCCCATCACTACCGACGCGGTTTCCTCCACCTTATGAACCGAAAAGCTGCTGCAATTGTCCAAAATTGTATCCAGGTCTTTGATCAAATTATCCTGACCTTTTGAAGCAATTGTTAGTCCATAGTTTAACACGTCGTTTCCCATATCCTTTTGTTTTTCCTTGTGTTTGCCTTCCTTCTTCCCCTTGCTTTTCTCTTCATCACTCGAATCTGAATCATCGTCCACATTCGGAAATCGAAATGAGAAGAAGTAATGCGAATTGTCGAGCTTTACGGAGGCCAGGTCCTTGGTTAACGGCCACTGGATCTCGTCTGCAACCCTGGCGAAGACTGCGACGTTGCTATCTCCTTGCCGGAGACTGACTAGTGACAAGTCGCCGGTGGCAAGCTCGACGGAGTACTGCTTATCGATCAAGTGGAGGATCGCGCCGGGAACAATGAGGAGGGTTTCTTCAACAGCCTCCGGGGGGGCAGATGGGGAATGGTGATAATATCCCTGGACAGTTTCGTAATTTTCTGGAAATAGGTTCTCCACATCTTTCATGTCAACGACGGGGTACATTGGGGACCGGTTCGCCGACGAAGATGAGGAATGGAACGGATTTTCAAAATCCGGGTCGACGACTTTCGGGTACATTGGACTCCGGGTCCGATTCTGAGAAGCCATTGGAGAGAAAATTTTAGGGCTTTGAAAATTTCTGCTCAGATACTTAAGTACATAAGTTGACGAAGAAGAAGAGTGGAAAGAAGGATATGATGACGTGTTTTCGAAGGAAGAATAGAGCTGACGTGGCGAGACGCGGGTGGGGCAGCGTTGAAATTAAATAACTGTCGGGAGTTTCCCGCGCAGTACCGGTAACGGTGCAAAGCTAATTTATTTAAGGAAAATGTTATATACCTAATATACCCCTTTTCAAATATTAATAACAAAATAAGTGTTTACATATCCTTTCAAAAAAAAAAAGTGTTTACATATAAGGAACATGTGATCAAATATGTATACTTTTTTTTTTAGAATCATAGTTGTAAAAAGGGAAAATGGCACTTTTTACCCCTGAGTTATATTATAACACTTTTTCCCCCTCAATTATTTAGGTAAGCACATTAGCCCCCTCAGTTATTCTAAAAGTGGTGCTTTTTCCCCCCGATATATTCAATTGACATTTATACCCTTAAAGTAAATATTTTATTTATTTTACTTCTCCAACAAATTATTGCGTATACGTAGGGATGACCACGGTTCGGTTTGAATTGAACCGGATACTATAGCAATCGAATTAATAGTTTTCGGTTATAATTCAGATCTAGAATCCAATATTTAAATGTCAATTTATTAAAATTATGTATCAAAAAAATTGAATCTTGAACCGTGAACCGGCGGTTCTGGATCCGATTCGCGATTTTGAACCGTCTTTATTTTAAAATTTTATTTTTTATTTTAAAATAGTATAAATTCAACAATATATGTATTTTATTTTTTCAGTTCGGAAAATGAACCGTCCGTTCTGGTTCACGGTTTTAATAAACTCTAAATATCGGATTTCGATTCTAAATTGTAATTGGAATATTTCGGTTTGGTTGCTATAGTGTTTGTTTGGTTTGAACCAAATTATGGTCATAATTTGTTGGAGAAAAAAAATAAATTAAATATTTAGTTGAAGGGTAAATATGTCCATTTAACATTTCAGGGGGAAAAACAGCCACTTCAATAATTTAGGGGGCAAAAATACTATAGGTATATAACTCAGGGGGAAAAAGTGCCATTTTCCCTTGTAAAAATATAATCAAGAAAGGAATATTATCATGATGTGCTTCCATTATGAAAAATGCAAGCAATCATATAAATGTAAATTAGAGATAAAATAGATGAATTACTTAAATTATAGATACATTACTTTTTGTTTAATATTTTATTTAAGAAATATTTTTATATGTATATCATGTGATTAATGTATGATAGGAAATCAAAGAAATATTGTCTTAAATGGTAAATGGAAGCATAACTTTCATGGGCAACCATAAGATCTAGCTAACATTTTCCTTCCATTTCCCTTGTAAATATTCATTTTGATCAACGAAAAAAAAAAAGACTTAATTTAATTAAAAAAATGTCTTTCTAAATTTTTAATCAAAAAATATTTTTAAAATTCTTTATTTTCCCATATTTATTTTTCCGGACTCCCTCATATATGCAGCCAGGTAGTAATGTGGTATCTGTATGACTGTATTACTCCTAAAGCATATATGTAACAAAGTGCTCCAACACAGTCTAAAGATTCTATCTCGGCATAAACAATAACCTCTGGGTTGTGGGTTTTCTAATCTCTCCATTTTACTCAATTATTTAAAGAATAGATGCGTTCTCAAGGATTTTTCATTTTATTTGCTTTTTATTTTCAAGATTCCAAAAATAATTTTTTTCCCACCGTCCACACACGCTTCGAGGAGTGAACACAAGATCAAGAACTAGTAATAATATCATTTCTTGAATTTAACAAAATAAAAACAAAACAAAACAAAACAAAAGCATTGGAAAGGGTAAGTACTTGAAAGGAGAAGTCAAGAACTATGTCAAGCAAGTATTTGGCAGACAAACCAATTTCCACTCTTCTCTATACTCTCCTCCACCTAGGGTAAAATTCTTCAAAACAACTAAAATAAGAACAAATTTGATATTCAATAATAGATGAAATTAAAAATCAAAACTTAAGTGGTAAAATCACTATAATCGAATAATGATCTAATTCCACCAAGCATAAAGTACAATGTGTGCCATTTCTACATTCAATATTGTAGAATTTTCCAAATCTACTCTTTCCATTCCTAAGTAACCAACAGTACAAAACCAGAGAAATTCACTAGAATGAAGGCGATGTAAATAGCAATCATATTTTCTGTTAGTGCACGCAATTGGAACTGTCCCAACACCTACTAGATAAAAATCACTTTTCATACATAAGGTATTGAAACTGAATTGGAACACATTCAAACATTCAATTCACCTCCCACTAGGACTAGGAGGTATAACAGTGACAGCTACATGCCTACATCCATTATCCACAGTCCTTTTGATAAGAACATAACTTCCACCAACATGCAGTGCTCTTTGATCCCAGTTTATCAACTTGTGAACCTGAAGGATGAGCAAATGCCAAAGAATACAATGGATATTGAGAATTCATAAAAATGAATTTTCTTTTGCCCTGAATTCAGACTCGTTAAGGAAAACATCCCCGCCCCAAACATCCCAGCATTTTGAAAACAATACCTCAACAGACATAAAAATCCCATCATTTTTTCTCCTCCTCTTTACGATCCTTGTCCTCCTCCTCCTTCTCCTGGGACTAATTAGGCAAAAGTAAAAAATTGTAAGTTCATTTTAACTTGTAGGAAAACTAGTAGTTTAAGAAAATTCAGTTGTGACATTAATTTATTGATGCCATCTAAAGAAGCAAAACCAATTCCTAAGCAAGGGTAATATTGTAAAGAATTGACCGACTTTGCAGGTAATAATATAATATTCCTTCACTGTGTAGGCTTAAATGTCCAACATGCATTACAGTCAATAGTCAATTCCAATGGACTAGATTAACAAGTTACCATCATGAATTGGTAACAGCAAAAGCAGCCGAAGTTAATGAACAAACACCTAAAATTGGCACTCTGTATGATAGTGTATGCCCTTGGATGGGGAGCAAGATTTGTGTGCTTCAATGCAATAATGACATCATCGTTAGTTTCATTTCTGATTCCCCTAATTCAATTTATTGTAATATTTATCATTTTCATCCCAAAGTACACAAGAAACGGAATAGGTAGATCTATTATCTATCACACTGAAATGTACTGCTACTGCAATCTACCAAATATAACAAGTCAGTAATTAAAACTAGAACTTGCTCATAACTAGAATTTCCTGATCATACAGATAATTAAGTAGCAGGGACGGTGACAAAGAAAGGCGAAAGGGTAGGACCTGTGTGCACTTTTAATCTGACTAGTTATTATGAAGGGAAGGGACTCACCTCAGACTGACCCTGCATGGAAGCTAATAGATCTTTAACTGATGGATCATTGGGGTCAACACCTGGAAGCTGTGCATAAAGGGAATCATGCGAGCCATCAGCACCACATCATGCATATCCATTAAGATAAGAACATAAAGTTTGATATTAAAAGAAGAAACAGAAATGCTTTGATATCTAAATACTTACTGAAGCAAGAATAGATGACACAAAAGATTGGTCAGCCAACAACTTGCTCACATCAGTTGGATTCGACTGGTCTTTTGTACTGTCTTGCACAGACAATTGAAGGGCTGCAAGAATCACCAGGATAAGAACATAAAAATACAAGGCTACAAGCTACAACTATGATAAAGTATTTATTTCAATGACACCATTCAAAATATTATAAAAGGTTGTAGCTTTTCTAAATAATTTAAGAAGCTTAGCAGAGATGAGTTGGAGAAAGTTGTTTGTCAAGTAGAAAGTTTAGACTACATAATTCCAACTCATTCTTGAGTTAAAGTATTACTGGCTTATGAAATACTACATGCCACTCAAAAACCACATATGAATGAGACCAAAGTGGAGTAAATAAATTTGAACTTTGCCCTTAATAAAATTAGGTGAAGAAGAGTTTGTTCAGCCTTCCCTTCAATATTATTTAACAAAAGACAGATAACTACACAGGCACCTTGAAAAAAATCTATGTTATTATCTTAGAGAATACCAGCAGCAACCCATTTGAATTTGAAAAAAAATAATAATAATAAACAAATATTGTTTCTAAAGAAGACACATGAAAAGGCTCTGCGAAGAGGAAGAAAATCCCTGTTACTCATAGAAGTGTTATGTGACTATGTCTTTCAATAAGTTCCCCAGATAAAATCCTAGGATGACAAACTCAGATCCCAAAATGCGCAAGGCACACAAGCCTCCATCCATGCATGCATATGGATAGATCCAAAAAAATAATAATAATAATAAATAAATAAATAATCAAACAAAGACAATAACTTACCAAGTGCCAAATCTTGATCTTCAGAAGCTGCTTCTGGCATGTCAGCATCTCTTATGGCAATGTTAGTGGAAGAATCATCCATGGACATTGCAAGTGCTTGTTGTAATAAGGCATTTTCATCATCCTAGAAGACATCCAAGAAAACCTGGGTGTTAATAATAATCATCCCAGAGAAGTGAAAATTGTCATTTCTTATATTCTTGAATGATACAGAGGTTCACACGGTCACACCATAGGATCAGCTGCCTTGTTTTCAGATTCAGATGTTCCAGCTGCAGCATTTTCAGTCATGGTCACATCTTCGGAAGCACTCTGCTTTTCTCCTTTTTCTTGTTTTGCAGCTTCTTCTGAGGCCTTTTTTGCAGCTGCTTCCTGCCTTGCCCTTTCTTCTTCCATTGAAACTCGAAGTGCAAGGGCAAGTTCAGGATCCAGGTTAGGATCTACACCAAATTCAAAGCCAGATACTCCACCAGCTGCAGCCGCTGCAGCTGCTGCAGCAAATCCACTTCCACCCTCACCGTCACCAGTAAATATAGGAGTACTACCAAGTAAAGAACAAAAGTATGATTTAGCATTCAATTCTAATTTGGAATTCAAATATTAAAATTTACTAAACAGATAGCAACCTTATTAACACGTCTGAAAGAGCATTAGGACCAGGAGGAACATGAACAATGTGACTGCTATCATTGTTGTTTACAGTGGCAACCAGTGCCTCAAGCTTCTCAGTTTTCCCTTCATCTTCTTCACCAAAGTTTACAACATCCAGAGATACACTGTTCTTTTTTAACTTTTTCCCAATCATCTCCAATACCTTCTTGTCATATGTGACAGGACTGAAAAGACATAATATAGATATGAAGAGAACCCAATATAGGAATTATACACAACAGTTCAGAAATATTCACCTCCCAGCAAAAACAATAATCCTTTGTTGTTGCTTTTTGTTTTGGCGATGCTTGAGGGCCAACTGAGCTACCTGAATTCCAGCTGCCAAATTCATTTCACCTCCTATTTCCAGTCCTGAATATTGTAAGATCAAAAACAATAACTAGAGGCAATAATGATTGGAGAAAAAGCGAATGTCACATAGGAATATAGGGAAAGAAACTTTTCATACCAACAAACTGCAGATATATATAAGTACTCAAAACTCAAAAGAAACATGGAAAGTGATAGAAATTTCTAAATTTTAATGATTCATCATCCTAAAGGTAACAGTTTCCTACTCTCCTTTGGTTACCAGCCAGTAACAAGGCGTTACATCTCACAAACCATTAAGTGCATACAACAGCTCTGTTTGGTAGAACTTATAGCTTATTTTGAGCTACAAATAAGCTATAGGCTCTGTTTGGTAAAACATGGGGAACTTAAAATAAGCTATTGGCTTTTAACTTTTTTTTTTTTTTCTTATCCTTATTAATTTACAAAAATGACACCATTTAACTTTCATTAATCAAAATTCTAATATCTCAGTTTATCCTTTTATGTCTTGTTACACTTATCTAGCTTATCCAACAGCTAATTTTACCAAACACTTTAATTTCAATAAGTTAGCTTATTAGCTACTAGCATTTCATCTAGGTGTGCCAAGCATAGCCCCTATATTTCTCAGTTTCAGAATTATACATCAGAAAACACACACCTAGAAGGCTAGAAACCAGTAATTTCACAGCACAAATTGCTTTGAATAGAGGAGCATCTGCACAACTTTCTATATTTGTTCTTTTGAATTTTAATAGGCATGAATGCATGACTTATCCAATAACTAAGTACTCCCTCTGTCCCATTTTGCCTGTCTTGTTTACTATTCATTGGGCAAACCAACTTTTCCTTCATTGCTTATTTTCTTTAGTAATTTTAATTATTTTTAAATTTGATTTTTTGTGTCTAATAGTACTTTTAATGTAGTTTCTAAATATATAATTTTTATATACTAATACTAAACTTAATATTATGAAAAATTGAATTAAAATTGGAGTATCTAAATTTGTCCGTGTGTGTATACAAGTTTTTTAAGTAAAGCTAACCGTGCATGCAAGCTAAGATCTTCCCGAGATCACTGGTAGGAGTAACTAAAACACGAACCCCTTTGCCAGCCATCGTCAATACCCCAACCGTATTCTCCGGATTAGCCTATACAATTATAGGGAGTACATAATTACCACAAAAAGGAAATTTGAAAATAATAAATAAATTTGCAGAGGCAGGCAAAACGAAGGTGAGTATTCAACTTTCATCTGAAACGAAACCATTGCAACGACGCTACAATTGCGAACTAAGAAAATTAAGTAAACAAACAAACCTGAGTTTTTGCCCCACAGATGAGATTAACGGCGTCAGCCTGAGCTTGAAATCTACTGGGCGAGTAATCTCCATTTCGCATCCACTCCGAATTGTCGATGCAGATCATCGTTGCCTGATAAAAAATTAAAGAAAAAGACGAAAATACGATGAGAAAAATGAACCCTAATTCTATTAAACTGTACAACCGCGAGCTGAAACAGTACCTCGAGCACCATGTTTACAGAATTAACACGAAATAGAGTTTAAGGATGGCGTGATTAAATCGCAGAGCGCCTGTTTTGTATACTCCGTATATGTTTCCTCCTTTGCACGCCAGAAGGAATTCCGGTTTTCGTTTCCTTTATGATGAGGTCACTTTCTGGAAAACTGAAGAAATACTACTGTGTAAGATTTGTTAAACGGTTCAAGCTTCCAACAATCGGGCCGGGTTAAGCATATAACTAATTATTCTCTCCCATCAAAATTGTCTTCAAAATGCTTACCAAATTTTATATGCTTCAATAAATTTATTATCTAAAATATTATTTAAATAAAAATCTTAAATAATAAATATTTAACCTAATCTAATCTAAAAATCAATAAGAATAAATGAAGGTCAATATACTTTATTTATGTCCATTTTTCATTACTATTTTTCATACATTATGTTATAAAAGTGGTACTATATAATATTTTTGACAAATATACATCTATCATTATAACTTTCGTTAATTTTTTCTATTATTATTATTATTATTATTATTATATTATTATTATTATTATGCACATGAATTCATCATATCTTTTTTATATTATTTAATTGTAATAATATATGTAAACATTATAAATTGAAGTAATATAATAAATAAATTTGACTTCATTTAAATTTCGTTAGTAAATATTCATTAGTTTCTTTATTTAAACATTTTTTTGAATGCTTCTCAACCTACTGAAACACAAAGAACCAATAACACCTCTACTGAGGCTCGAACTTACAACCTTTCATATGGAAGTCCAACCCGAGTACCATTAGACCACATAGTCCTGGTATCTTTATTTAAACATAAATATCAAATTTATATAAATGATTTATATTATTATTATCTAAAATCAAAATTAAAAAAATATATAAGAATGAATCAATGTTATTACCCATGATTTATGTTTATATTTTTATACTTATTGAGTTGTGTATTAATCTAGAAATATTGTACTATCATTTGTATCGAAAATTTTATTTTACAATGTTAAATTTCCTTTACAGGGCGTTTGGTTGGAGGGATTTTAAATTCCCTTCCCACTTAATTCTCATCTAATTCCAAAGGCCATTAAATTCCGTAGTTTGGTTGGAGGGAATTGCAATTCCATGGAATTGCAATTCCTCCATTTTCATGGAATTAAAATCTCATGTCCCCCCCTGGTATTTTAATTCCTGTGAAAAAAAGATAGTGATGAGTCAACATTACCCCTTCCTTTTTTAACTTAAAATTAATGTCTAACAACAATAATGGACATTTTTGACTTTATACTACTTATTCCCTTTCAATTTCCATGTATACCAAACATTGGAATTGAAATTCCCAGTAATTCTATTCCTGTCAACCAAACACTGGAATTTAAATTCCCATTTTATTCCCAGTAATTCAACTCCCATGGAATTACAATTCCTTTCCTACATAATTCTCCCCCTCCAACCAAACGCCCTGTTAGTAAATATTCAGTGTTATCATAATTATGTTTAATCATTTACCATATCTAATCGTACTTTAACACTTAATAATTATATCATAATTAATTAATTATTACTCAAATTAGCAATCATGCTTTTAGTATAATATGATATGATTTCTATTATTATGAATTTTTTTTAAAAAAATTATATACTATTATTTAAAAAAATCAATATAACTAATATTTTGACATTGAGTATTAGTATTGTAATCTATTTTAGTACATTGCACATAGAAAAAACTAGTTTAAGGCGTTTGAAAATCTATAAAATAATTTTTGAAAAATAATTCATTTTCTAAAAAGCATTTTAATTTGCTAGTGTTTAGTTGAATGTCAGAAAACTATCTTTTTGTGTTTGACTAAAAGTTAAGAAATTACATTTTTTTGTTGTTTGGTTCATTTTTCTAGGCGGGTTGTTATTTTCGAAAACCACCCCTACCTAAGTATGGGGGACGAGTTGGGCCGACGGGCAAAATCCGTTTTGATGGCTCTATTACTACATTTGCGCACATTGCATAATTACATAAAAAAGAACTCATAAGATGATATATTTAATATAGAGTCGCATGTTAATTAATTAAAAATAGTCACGAGTTATTACAATAGAGAGAATAATATGTTTTATATAAACTATATATTATACATAAGATTGCGATGAAAATAATTAAAGCTCCGTTTTGTTTGGGTAGTGGACGGGCAAACCCTTCTTCACCCACGCATCAAATCCTCCTTCCATGTTACACACATGCTTGAATTTCTGCATGCTCAACTTAATTTAATTATCACATCAATTATTTATAGAGGGGAATTGAAGTTTGGTTCAAGACCATACAAATATCAATTTGTTACCACTTACTACTTATATCATAAATTATTCGTGAATTGTATAAAACAAGTTAAGCTTATTACCTCACTAAGAAGATCTTCAATTGCATACATAGACCTTACCCCACTTTTGCACCCCTACATACATTAAATATATAGACTAAGAGTTAACAACAACACCAATAATGAGATTTCTAATTTGTATGGATAGAAAATTTTTTATATGATGTACGGAGTATCTATTAATCGATCACTAGTTAGGGGTGAAATGTGTGAAAACTCACCACAACAAGCTTTTCTTCCTTGCCTATTGCTGATAAAACTTGATTCATGAATTTTGGATTCTTCTCCCTACCTGATAATTGGTAAAAAAAATTATTTTTAAAAAAAGACAGAAAAAAGAAAGATTCAATCATTCATAAAGTATAAAATTGATTGAAAACAAAACACTCTAATGAATAGACAGCCAAACAGCACCTAGTGATTTGTTGATGATCATATAAGGTATGTTCAAAGCGTTCTCTACATGCCCTTTCTTGAATTCTTCTTCTGTCCTGCCAGATGAATAATTCCCCCAATCACAAAACTTTAAAATCCGAAATAAAAAACTATAATAAAATTCAAATAGGAACAAAAAATAAAAAAAAAAATTCTACTATTAAAAAAAAAAACACCAATAAATACGACCATCATGTTATATTCAAATCAGTACTGAAGTCTTTTGTGCTATATGCATACAACTATCCATAATATATCTTCTCCCAATGAATCGTGAATCAATAGTATATATGATTGTACCCGATAAAAAGAAACACCAATAAATAGACCATTACGTTAGATATAAAAAAGAAAAATGAAAGTACCTGACATCAAGATAGCGATGGCCTTTGGCCAGGAGTTCTTGAGCAACATGAACATCAACGTTATCGATTCTTAATCCCGCAACTCCTGAACTACAAAACAGAACCACCAGAATAGCGACCCCAGAAATCCAAGAAACACCCATTTTTTAATGTATATATAAAACTAAAGATTTATACTTTTACTTCCAAAAAAAGAAAAAGATTTATACTTTTTTGTATAGTATGTATTAACAACTCTCCAGAAATAGAATAATAATCTTTGTAGATGTGTACCTTAGCAAGCAAGCCATTGGAATTGAGCAGGATTGTGTATATATAGTGGGGATAGTGAGAAAGTCCGATCCCGGGGTGGAATATAATTCCGATCCTGTTGGCTGTGTTGATTGGTTTGTGAAGTTGCAGAGAATAGCGCAGGGAAAACCAACTCAGCTGATTGCAGGAAATGTGAAGCTGGTTGCCTGTTTTATACGTACTATGGTCATTGCCCATTGGAGCAGTTTTTTATTTTTAAAATTCGTAATTTTTTAAAAAGAAGAAGAAGAAAACAGCCACATTTTCAGTCACAACTGCCTTGTTTTCAGTAAACAATATTAATTTCATCGAATTTAGGGGTGTATTCAATCATGACTTTTGTGGAGTTTTAAAGACTTTTAAAATGATAGATTTTAATAAACTTTGATTGACTTTCATAGAGTCGTTCAAAACTTTTTAAAACTTTATAAGACTCTATAAAAGTCTATATAAAAAACATTCATAGACTTTTATCAACTTTTTATTTTAAAAAGTACACAAAAGTCATTGAAATTCTAAATTGAATACATCATTACAAACTTTCAATGATTTTGATTCTTATCATTTACAATTTTCTTACAAAACATTTATAATATATTATAAAATTCTTCTTATTATATAGTTCTTCACCCACATCAACATTTTCAACATTATTATTTTTATCCATAGTATGCTGAGACTTATATGCTAATTACTTAGCTTATATATATTATTAATAAACATCAACAAAAAAAAAAAAACTATTTCATTATAAATTCATAACAATATTGAATAATAAAATTTATAATAAAAGACTTGATCAAATAAAATATTTAAAAATATAATTACAAGTTGCATAAAATAAAAAAAATAAAAATCTAATATTAATAATATATAGAAAATTATCCTTGATATATTGCTAGGCATCATGCAAAGAACTATTATTTGCAATAGCAATTTGAGACTGCAAACAACAACAAGGTGCTACTGTTTGCAACTCCAAATTGTTGTTACGAACAGTAATTCGCTATTCGTAGTAACCTGTTGTTAAAATATATATATATATATATATATATATATATATATATTACGAATATAAACATAAAAATAATAAAAATCAAAATATATAAGTATTTATATGAATATTATGAAACATATACTAAAATTTGACGATGAAAAATTTGCTTTGTTCATGTATTTAGGGAGAATTAGAGAAAGTTAGTGATAAAAAATTCATAGAAAAAAATAAAAACCAATACAAACAAGCAATAATGAAGTAAAAATAATATTATTTCAAATTTTTAGATGAAGATTCTAAAGTTTATGAGAGAGAGAAAAAGTTGGTAGAGTTTAGGTATGAGAAAAATATAGGATAATGAAGAAAAAAAATAATTTTATTGAATTTAGATAGGTTTATAGAGTTTAAATAGGGAGAAAAAATAGAGTTAAATAGAGAGAGAAAACATTCAAAGTTGTTAGAAAGAAAATTTGAAATCTTGGGGTTGATGGTCGGATTTCAACTATTTATATTTTAGAAGGAAAAGTCTACAAAAGTCTTAAAATTAAAAAGTCTACAAAAGTTCATAACTTTTTGAATACCACATGACTTTTAAAGACTCTTTAAAAGTCTTAATCGAATACCACACGACTTTTAAAGACTCTTTAAAAATCTTGATTGAATACCGCCTGACTTTTAAAGACTCTCTAAAAGTTTGAATTGAATACCTCCAAACTTTTAAAGTTCATAAAAGTCTTTAAAACTCTATGAAAGTCATGATTGAATACACCCTAGATTACAAATAGATGACACATCTGATTTTAAATAGGTGTTCACATAATCGAATTTTAGTGAGACTGCAATTCTTTGAGCTAAAATTGTTTGAGAAATTCTTATAAATTGTTTGAGAAATTATATAAAAATTATATTGGTTTGAAGTGGGAAAGAAAATAAACCACTTTGTGGGAAATGACACACTACCTAATTTCACACTTTGTTTTATATTTGTTCACCAATCAAGACACACTTTCCTACTCATTCAAAACCATCTCATTCTAGTTAGGGTAATACCCAATTACCCACTATAATTAAATTGGAAATATAAATAGATTTTTTTTTTCGGGTACAGATTGTGCCAGTATTTCTTTTAAATAAAAAATAAAATATTTTGAGTATATTAAATGATTGATAAACAATTATATATCACCCTGCAAATCTGCAATACTTAACTCAATGATTCAATGGTCACTGTGAAAAATTTAATTCAATATTTTAAAAGAAAAACAAGTATTTTTAATCTTTTTTTAGTACTATTGACCCTATTATAAGATACTATATATTTTATACTTTCTTTATTTATTACAGTCCAAAAAAGAATACCCCACCAAATGGATTTTGATCATGTCACCTTCCTTTAAAGAGAACTACAAAAATATCATTTACGAGCACAAAATATTTGGCCTCATTTTTTATCTTATGCCTCCCTCCCTCTTCTAAATTAGCGATATTGCCTTAAAAGAATTGAGCAAAAATTTCTCAATGGGATGTTGGTAGAAGATACGGATCAGAGTATATGAAACCGACAGATTTGTGTGTGTGCGCGTGTGTAATGTAAGTATATATGTGAGGATGACGAGGATTGACAAATGACCCAGTTACCTGTTCCGATTTGTTTTACGTTTATGTGGAGTGGTTTAGTGGTAAGACCCCACTTATTATGTACTCCCATTGTCCATTGTTTTGTACCAAACGAAACTGTTCCTTTTAATTCCTTTTAAAAAAAAAAAATCAAAATGATTATCTTCTTAATCTAAACAAACAAAATGAAATTGAGTGCGACATATTGTATACAAAATGTAGTTTTATTGACAGCAAGTTTTAAATTGGACAAATATTTATTTTATTTGGATTGATTAAATTGTCCAATAAATATTTAATTGCTCTAATTACTTAATAGAATAAGGGTCAAATAGGTCACTCAATTGCACACCAAAGTGCAATTAGGCCATTGAACTAAAAAAGAATGCAATTAAGTCATTAAACAACACAAAAATATGCAATTTAACCCAAAATGACTTGTTTACCTAGAGTAGCAAGTTACCAATTTCAAAATTAATTTTTTAAAATAACTTTTAATAAATAAATAATTAAAATATTAATAAATAAATAAATTAAAAAAAAAAAAAAAAAAAAAAAACAGAAACTGCCGGCCGGAGACGAACCTCCGTCTCCAGCCATGGAGACAAAGACCTTCGTCTCCGGCCATGGTTGTCTCCATGGCCCATGGCCGGAGACGATTCGTCTCCATAGCCATGGAGACGAAGGTCTTTGTCTTCATGGCTGGAGACGGAGGTTCGTCTCCGGCCATGGAGACAAAGCCGGCCGGAGACGATTCGTCTCCGGCCGGCAGTTTATGTTTTTTTTTTTTTTTAAATTTATTTATTTATTAATATTTTAATTATTTATTTATTAAAAGTTATTTTAAAAAATTAATTTTGAAATTGGTAACTTGCTACTATAGGTAAACAAGTCATTTTGAGCTAAATTGCATGTTTTTGTGTTGTTCAATGGCTTAATTGCATTCTTTTTTAGTTCAATGGCCTAATTACACTTTGGTGTGCAGTTGAGTGGCCTATTTGACCCTTATTCCTTACTTAATTAAGAGTCCTTGGATGTTGAATTAGAATCCAACCATGGTGTTATTAGACCACAAGGTCTTGGCTAGATGATAGAATATTTAATTGAGTTGGACAAGACCGTTTGTATTAATTGGGATGTCTAATTAGCGAGTTTGACTTGATTTTGACGCATCAAGAATATAGGTTGGTTGTGTAATTTTGAAGAAAGTTGGATAATTTAATATTACTTGAACTTGAATGGAATCATGAATCTGGACGTGATGACGTCCCAATACATTTCTCATATTTAATTCAAATAATTAAATTAAATTTGATAATTATCCAAAAATGGTGGAGTTTGTTAGATTTATCCTACACTCACCACTATAAATAGTAGTTTCATTTTGGAGGGAGAGGAGCTCTGAATATTTGCATATCGAAACTCTACCGAAATCTCATTATGGTATTATCTGGAACACGTCCGACATACATCTGTGACGAGGAACTCCCAATTTGAGAATCGAAAGCCTTTCTTTGAGGAACACGTCATTCGAGAACCAGAAATCCTCCTTTGAAGATCAAGTTGCGTACAAACCTTTCATCAAAGAATAAGCTAATTAATTCCGGAAGCCCTTTAGCAATGAACTAGGACGATTCGACATAGTTATAGTAGATAATAAGAATATTTCTCGAGTTAATACCATCTGATGTCCTCCGAGTATAGTGATTTTGCCACGTTTAGTCCTAAATTTTCAAATTGACCATTTGTGGTCCTTCGACTTTTAAATTTAACCATTTGTGGTCCAAGTTAACCACCCATGGTCCTTTAAGTTTTGAAATTTAACCAGTGGTGGTCCTGTTGAAAGGACCATGGTTGGTTAAATTTTAAGTTGAAGGACCATGGGTGGTTAACTTGGACCACGAATGGTTAAATTTGAAAGTCAAAGAACCACATATGGTCAATTTGAAAGTTTAGGACTAAACGTGGCAAAACCACTATACTCGAAGGACCTCAAATGATATTAACTCAATATTTCTCATATCCTAAGATTGTACCCATTCTTGATTGATACATACTACTTGTAACATCTATACTTTGAAATTTATATATACAATTCAAGTTTTGCATTTACAATATATTTTATTTATTTATTTATTAGATTTTGTGTCATATATGCATGTATTTACATGATTTACTCATATACCTTCCACATAAAAACTAAAGGTAATTTTTTGTCGTAAAAAATAAGTGATCAACGATTATGATTAAAAATCAACATCTTAAATTCATGCGCATAATTAACAATTTGATCCCATAAATATCAATTAAAGAATAAACCAATCTGAACAAAATTATAAACTTTCATCCAAATAGGTAAGTAGCATAAAATAAGAGAGTTATCCAAAATAAGAGTCACTTTATATCAATCATCAATTTTTTACTAGAAAACCATGTTCTCTATTTGATCCATATAAGGGTCAAGTTGACATTTAACAATTTAAAATTCTTAAACGGCGTCGTTGTATTCCGTAGACGAATTATTCATCGTCGCAGAGTGGAACTGAGAACTTGAACGGGAGTGGTGAATCAACCGGTGTGGGGGGGATACATGGAAGCGATAGACTCTAATTCAAGCACAAAACCGTCATCGCTCCGATGGAAAATCCTTCGCCGTGCTCTTCTTCGTCGCCCGGCATCCAATCCAGGTCCGCTCATATGTACACACATCTATATACCCACTATTACGTAGTACAAAGTCTGTATTTTGCAAGGTGTATTGAACAAAATTCTTCCCAGATAACCAATCGGAAACGGGTGTTGAGCAAATATCAAGAAAGGCAACTCGGGGTTTCAATTTGATACCGTGCAGTTTTCTGGGAAATCGTTCAGAAGAAAATTCAGATTCTCTGTTAAGAAAAGATGCAGTGAGCAGCTCAAGAGATGCTCCTTTCTGTTACACATTGCCTCTTCCCAATTCTCCCCAGCTTGTTCTGCAGTGAGTTCGCATTTGAAGTTCTGCACTTTTGTTTCCCTTCATATTTCTTACTGTATAATCTATTTCACCATTAGGCTTCATATTCCCATTTCCATCTATAGTATTTGAGTTTTATATTGTTCTTTGTGTATGTTATTTATACCCCATTTGCACTGCTGACGTGGTTGTATGTTCGTTCTTTATGCATCATTCCATTGTGAACAGAAAGCATGAAACTATATTTTCACAGTTCATTATACAATTATATGCAGTTGAGAACTACTATTTTTATCTAATTTTGCCTATGAAGTTTCCTCTTCTAAATCTCACATAAGATTTGAGGGAAATTCTATGTTAGGTACATGTTTGATAAATATGCAAAAATAATACTATGAAACTTCCCTATCTGTATCATTGCCTTTGTACTGTTTGCATAAAAAAGGAATTAATTATTATTATTATTATTTTCTTTTTCTTGAGAATGGATTTTTGAAAAGTGTTCAATTTTTTATTTTTTTTTCCCTACGATATTCACTTGGTTTTGGTTTCATTATGTTGATTTCTTACTTATGGATCTTGATGCAGCCAGAGAGTGAATGATCTTGTGGATCTCAATGACTTTGAGGTCTGTAACAGGTTTAATATTGACAACACTGGGCTTGTTTGTAAGTTTCCTATGAACTCTAAATCTTAAATTTTCTGTTAACCTTATTACTCCGTATTATTTTTTATCTTGTAATTCTACGCCTAATTTGCTATCTGTATCCATGTTCTACTCTGAAATATATGTAATTTGCTATTTCTTTTCCTTTGACCCCTGCTTATTTATTTATATTTATTTTTTAATATAGGTTCATGTCTCAGTTTCCTTGTGCATGAAATCTTTGTAAAAGATAATTGACTTGTAATATATCGAATTTCTAGCACTTCCTATGTACATGGTTTCTTTGTTCTTATGAAGAGAATTAGGAAATAATGTTCTCTTAATACTCATAACAGTTAATTGATATTCTAGCACCAATTTTGTAATAATATTTATTATATTCTTGCAAATAACAGAGAGGATCTATATTATAAGAGTGAAAGCATGAATTTAGAGTGTGAAGCTGCTTTCTCTACTCTACAAGTGATTGAACTTGGACAATGTGTGCTATTAGCTTGTTTAGCTTACTGCTAACCTGAAAAGGGCAATTTCCTGTTAGATTGTACTATAAATTTTGATGGTGGATATGGTTCACCTTTTCAGTGAATGGCTGTTGCCAAGACCAAAATCCACCACCGAGGTCTATTTCACTCGAATAATGTGGTTCAATTCTCACAAAAAAATAATTCACTAATGATGTGGGAAACTGCTGGCTAATAGGTGCTCTGTGTGTGAATGAAGTGAAGCCTCAAGCAGCCACAACTTTTTGCACTAAGGTTGCAAAAGACATGTAAAATAGGTTTATATTGCATTATTGCTGTTTGGATTGTAGTGGCTGATATGGTGAATTTTGTCAAGGAACTGTTCTTTATTAGGAGAGCCTGCAAGGTGAAAAAAAATAAAATCATAGGGAAGTTCTAGCAAATATACCAAGTACCCTCATGACTTTTGTGGTGATTTTGGATTTAAAAAAAAATTCATATTTTGAGGGGTTTTGGAGTTTCAACTCTTGTGCATAGCTGAACCATAAGTGCCCAACAGTCCCATGCTTAGGTTTTTTTGTAAAGTTTTTGTAGGCACCAGCTTGATTTGTCTTGTTTTTTTGGTCATTTTCATTTTGTGAGTAAATAATTGCATGAATTTTATGTACGAATATCGGTTAGTGCTCAACTTTCTTTACTACATTGTTGGGTAGGTCAATGGCCGTCTGAGGATGTCCTTGCCTACTACTGCTTGTCACACGCAGACATGTTCAGGTTTGTAGAGCCTGCTGAATTTCATGTTACATTTTGCATTTTCAATATTTATCATTATAACTTCAACTCCAATTTGTGCAATTATTCTCCTCTTTTAGGCATAAAAGAGTGATTGAACTTGGATCAGGATATGGCTTAGCTGGCCTAGTTGTTGCAATAGCCACAGAAGCACTAGAAGTTGTGATCACTGATGGAAATCCTCAAGTTGTTGATTGTATCCTTTGTATCTGGAATTCTGAAATGTTGTCCGAGAAAAATAAACTAATTCAATTTGGTTACTTACTAGCACTGAACAAGAACCAAGCTGATAAAACCATAAAGTTTATGATTATTGATCCACCAAACTGCATGCAAAGTTGATCCATGATGTCACTCCTTTACTGGATAATATCTCAGTTTCTGTTGTAGTTCTGTTTTTTTTTTTTTTTTTTTTTTTCCCCATTCTCTATGCAAGCAGACACTCTTTGGATATCTTTAACATTCAGATATACAGAGTAATATAATTACCAATTCAAGTGTGTTTGGTGGTACAGAGGTTAAGTCAATGATTCTGCATTGGGGTCAGGAAAATGTCTCAGATATCTCTAATACCTTTGATGTCATTATTGCAAGTGACTGGTAATTACGTTTTAATTCTTGAGTCACCTTTGTTTTTTTCTCCTTGAGTAATCTGCTTGAATGCTTGAATTCTAATGCTAGACGTATTAGATATGACTAACTTGGTTTTGATCCACAGTTCTGATTGTTAGATCATGTACTTTTTCAGTTCATATGATTTATTTATTCTACCACATTGAAGTGTTATTACACATAGGACATCTAACTTTTCAAAGTGTATTATGCACTTTTATCTTGTCTGGTTCAGTTAACTGGTAGCTTTAACATCTTTATTGATGCAATTATACAATAAACTGAAACTCTGAAATTTTAATAAGCATAGACATCTCTCCTTTTATGTGACATGCAATAGCATGTGTAGAAGCACCAAATGCCATTTTCACCTTTTCTATGTAAAATGGGTAATCCTTTTGCCATCTTCATTTCTATTTTGCAGCACATTCTTTAAGGAATTCCATGAAGGTCTTGCTGAAACTATCAAATTCTTGTTAAAGAAAGAGGGTCCCTCTGAAGCACTACTTTTTAGCCCTAAAAGAGGTGATTCATTGGAAAAGTTCCTTGGAAAGGTTAAAGGCAGTGGACTTAATTTCAGCATAGATAACAAGTATGACACAGAAATTTGGAGGCGTCATCAGAGATTCCTTTATGGTGATGATTCTTGGCCCAATTATGAGATGGACCACTGCTATCCTTTGTTGGTCAAAATAACGTGGTAAAAATTCAACACATGGAGGGGAGGTAATCTGATCACTAATTTATGTATATCTTTGCTTCCTAATATGTTTTTTTGTAATTGAATTCTTTCACATTAGAGAAGTTGGTGGATTTGTTATCACCAATATCCTCACAAGATATTAGAAATTTCATGCATTTATGGTTGAGCTATATGGTGGATCAATCTTGTTTCTTCAACTTTATTTAGCCAATTCTGCTCCCTATTGATCTTTTTCTGGCAGCATGGCGGCCTGGCCATGGGTTAATAAGTTTGCTTAGTAGACTATTTACTGCTTCCTTTCATTAATAATAAGTTAATATATGGAAAAAAGCATTTTTAGCCCTTCAATTATGCAGGTCTCGCTGTTCTAGTCTGTCTTTCAACTGTTACAAAATACACCCCTTACTTTACAAAAAGTTGCAATTTTCACCTTTCAGGTAACAAAACTGCAAACCTCCATTAACAAAAAAAAATAAAAATAATCATATGTGATTTTTACCAAAAACATATGCTAACCAGACATGGAATCTGAACCAAATTGCTATAGAGATTCACAGTTTTGTTGCTCTAGGATGAAAATCACACCTTTTTTTTTTTTTTTTTTATAAAAAAAAGCTGGGGTGTACTTTGCAACGGCTAGAAGACACTAGAGCTGCATAATTGAGACTGGAGAGACAAAAAATGCTTTTGGCCTCTCAATATAAACCTGCATATGGTATATAGGATAAGGAGATATGATATTGCTTTCTTTTATTACTTAAAAAAGTGTTTTATCTGTGGAATGGATTGAAAGATTAGAGGAGCACTGAACTTTACATCCTGACAACCTGACACAGGAATCAACTTCAACATGAAGAAGTTGAGGGATTTGAACCACAACCCGGTGGAAGATCAGAGAAGGTAAACTTCTGAACTTCGGGTCTTGATTTGATTTCGCTGTTCTCTTGTGGAGAATAGAAAAAGGTGTAGTGGTCCATAATGTAGGTTTTGTAATTCCAGAATATGTTGAAAGGCTGAAAGTTACATTTCAGGATGCAGCAGTCCTTTTTATCTTACGTTAAAGTTGGCAACTCTTTCTGAGCACAAGTTGGTTAAGAATCTAGAGGTCCTATATTGCCCTATCTATAGTCTCATCTTTCAACTCATTTATGCAATTAAGTTTAGGCGTTTATATTTCCCTCTCTATATAATTGCAGTGGTCCTTATTGCTTTCACAGTCGCTATATGCATGAGTCTTGTCTTGAAATATTCATGTTTGTTGTGATCTATTGAGAACTGAGAAGGTGACATTGTATATACAAAATTGTGATTGAGGTGAATTATTGTGAACTTTAGGCCTCATCATGTTCCATCAGCTGAAAATTTCAAGAGGCTATTCATCAATCATGAAACAAAGGGCTATCATCTTAGTATGGCCCTGCTTAATTGTTGGAAAAGCATATTCAATAAAATAATCTTGATTATTGATTATGTATTGCACAAACTTATTATCAATATGTAGATTGCTGGGGAATCCTATGATATAAAGCATATTTGTAATATATTAATGTTAGTCCAAAGTGAAAATCATAAAAGACAAGTTGAAGCAATGATGGCATTGAAGAAATTAGTTGTTTAGTAGCAATTTAGGTGGCCTAAACGCCTCATCTTTATGGCATTAGATTATAAAATCAATTTAGTAGTGATATATCCTATGATTTTGCCATTTCGTTGTAGCTTTGTTGACATTTTATTCGCAGTGACGCATTGGTGGACCCCTACTATTTTCTTGATTTGTCTAGTAGAGTTTGGAACAACAGAATTGTTGGTGAGTAGTGAAAGATGCTTATAGTAGTTTCTTTCCATTGGGATGAAAAACATGTCTATGAATAACTTAAAAAGAAATATATTCTTGTCTCATAAAAAATCATGCTAAAATATCTTTATTGTTTGTGAATAAACAAAATCTATTTTTACCTTTAAGTTAAATGTCTTTACTCTTTAGAAATAATAAATAAATAAATAATAGAAAGCGTGGAGCATTTTAGTCTTATCAATTGGAGGAAAAGGAGCAACAGTGTGATGTGACAAAAATGTTTTTAAAATCGAAATTAATTAGGAGGCTTTCAACTTATTACCCATTTAATTGGTATGTAGAGAAAAGAAACAAGATCTCATAAGAATGGATGGAATAAAATACAAATTTTATTTTATTGTACCCATTTGTATCCTTCATTTAAAAAAAAAAAAAAAATAGTGAGGAGAGGAATCTGTAATCACGACTTAAGATGTGTATTGAGTTAATCTCATATTGTGACATTAGCTGGCAAAGAACACGAACATATATCGGCATATCTTTAGGTCATTGATACTTAAAAATTGAAATTTTGTAGTTAGTAAATTAACGACCTGACCAGCTTGATTGGTGCCCTCCTTCAATTTTTACAAATTGGGTGTCTTGGCTCTTGACCCTAATTCTAATTGTTTCAATAGCAAGATTTGGTCAGGCTGCTGGTGCATTTCATTTGATTATCATATCCAATAGGAATTTAAAAATAAGAAAAATATATAATATATAATTCTATAATAGCATAAATAAATTGTGTAGAACTACAAGAGCAATAATGGAAGAGAGAAATTGAAGGGCAGTAAATGGGTGAATTGTTGTTGAATCTCCGGTGGCCAAACTTGCCAACCACGTCCCGTCCGCCAGCATCGCCGTCTCCCCCGTCCCCACAGCCCCCTCGGATCCTGATTCCGGTGCCGGCTCCGATCCTGCTCCTGACCCAACTGTTGTACTCGAGTTCGACCCTTTTTTACTGCAAATATGGGAAGTTCAGTCGCCGATTAGGGTTTTTTAAGTTGATATCTATAGATACAATTTACAACTAACTTGGTAAAAGGTACATTACCTAGGAGATGATGATGGACAAAATGTGATGATGTAATCGGCGTCTGTACATGTGAAAGTACTGGTGGTGTCATCGTACGCGTAGCTATACGATTTAGGGCACACCGACTTGAAGATCTGGGAGTACACCGAAGGAGAACACGTCGACGGCGATCCGTACGCGCCGGAGCAACAATACTGCGGGGTCTTGAACGCATCGCACGCGCTTCTGCAAGCTCTGCCGCCTTCGGTTCTCAGCTCCGCCGGGCATTTTTGGTTCAAGTCATCGCCACAGCCCGTGGGCGCACAGGGACCCGACCCGCCGCCACTCACATCCACCATCATGGGGAGATTGAACCCGTCTACCAAGCTGACGTCATAGAAGTCCTGTGAGCCGGTGCCGAGGGTGAACTCAGCTAGGGTCGCCGGCGGCTGTGCTCCCTCGCCGTTGCACTCCATTTGGCCTGAGCCGCAGTCTCCGGTGAGGCATGACCCTTGACCCGAATCGTCAAAGTTGCAGCCGGTTCTGCCCCAGAACCGGCCGGACCACCCGGTTGGGGCTTGGAATGTGCGAGAATTGCCTTTGGTTAGCTCGAACCCTGTAGCGTCAAGCTTCGGAGTGCCCAGAATCCCAGGCCACACTGTTTGCTCACAATTGTTTACGAATGTAAATTTTGCAGCTATGGCACCTGTAATGTAATAACATTAAATGTGCATGATTTCATTTCTTTTGAGTGATACTGACTCTGTTACAATGCAGAATGCAGTATCTCTTCATAACTACTTTTTTTAACATACTGAAGCATAAATGGTTAATATGATTTCCATTAAAATTCAAACTCATGACCTCACATTTGGAAGAGTCAATTTGTGCTTATGTAAATAATTTCATATTATATTATGGTGAATTTAGTACTTCAGCAATCAAAATTGTCACTTTATTAAGTATTCACTAATATATAGGGTGACAAAATTTGTCACTTTTCCAAACGTGGGCTAGGTGAAACATAGTTATAAAGAAATAAATAAGTTGAAGTTGTACAATCAAAGAAGACTAATTGATAGACAAAAGAAGACCAATAAACAACGATCGACTAATGTCAATTATCTGACTAACTTAATTAGAGTTGCTTCCAAATATATTATACTTATTTGTATTACACCTAGTATAACTATATATATATATATATATATATATATATATATATATTATAATTAATTGTATCAAGTATTATATTTTTCCGTATCTACTAACTTTCTTATTCCCTAATTTGTTCAACTTATATGAAATAATAAAATGAAATTGTCTAAATGATACAAAGTTTGGTACATATTTAATTTAACTTTTATATGTATAAGTCCCTATGGATGGTAAAAGAATATATATGTATATACAAAAAGCCATTGCAATTCAAAGAAATGAACATATATAATATTCACACCAAGTAAAACCTTATATACATACAAATTCTGGAGCTATTGACAGAGCTGCATTAAGTAGAGAAAATTGAAGAGAATCTCAACTGAATTGAAGTAACCAAAATCTAATCCCAATTATACAAAACCAAACATATATATTATGTTGTTTACATACATACCTTGAAAGCAGAGGAGCAGGACAAGGCTGGGAATTGCGGTACAGGAGAGACCCATTAAGCTTGAAGATGGATGGTTTAATTTGGTCCTCTGAGAAGAAAGAAGAATGAATATATGCTCAATTCTGGGTCACCAAGGGGGACAAATGGGAGAGCTTCAAAGTTCAAACAATATAATATAATGGGTTTTTGCAGTCAAGTTATTAAGAGCAATTAATTGCAGTAGCAGAAGAAGGGTGGTGAAAGTATATGAGGAATGAGTGTAAGTAGAATAATATATATGTAAAGTTTAATTGTCTCTGTGTATATTATAACTCATCAGCTTCAATCTCCACCCCCCCAAGAAGCTACTGAGACAAAATCAATCAAGTATATATATATAAATATAAATATATTGATATTTGATAGGAATTGGGAAAAGTTGGGTGGTGTTGGTGGAGGAGGAGAGTGGGGGCTCATTTAGAAGTGGCATTGGAGACCCTTAACGGCTTCCTATATATAAGCAATTAGGTTGCATACCAAATTATCAATGATTTGTTACCCCATCCTAAGGGACCCATTTGCATTTGTCTCTATCTTTAAGTGAGATAAATTAAAATTACTCGAATAATAATCCACTGGGAAAACTACATTAGGGTAAAAAGAGTGATAATATTTTTGTAAATAAAATAATAATTATTAAAGAAATGTTACATTGTTACCCTCTATAAGTATAATATATACTACCTTTTGGACATTATGGAATTTCTCTATAATTATATGAAAATTATGATAAGTTTGTTAGGGAATAAATATTACATTTGGATAATAACAGTAGATTTTCTTGTCATTTAAAAATATTATTATATTGTCATCACATATTTCTTGTTGATAGGGTAAGGGAAGAAAAATTGACTTCTAGAGACTAATGAATGATTTGTTGCTACGGATGACAATGAGTTGAGTATGTTAAGAGTACATGACCCTCCCAAACCTTAATAAAATGGATTTGGGTATATAGAGAAAAAATACTCGTCATAGATTCATGACATGTATGTTTCAGTAACAATGGAGTACCCCGTATCAGATACTCGTTGATATATATATATATATATATATATATATATATATATATATATATATAATTTCAAGATGAGTTCAAGTTTCCACATGCATGTAGTGTTAAATGGGTATGAGATAGTATGAGTATCATTCTAACAGATTCATATGATTCTATAGTTAATAGAGTGAGAAAAGCTTAATAAATGGGTATTTTACTCGTTGTCATCCATATTCATTGTTATATGAATAATAAAAGAGAGTATAATTATTATATTCATAGAGTAAGAATATTTAATTTTATGATTTAAAAATAACTTCTATTGCTTAGCTCACTGGTACAGTATACAATATTTGAAAAAATAGATCAAGATTTGAACTTTGACAATAACAATGTCATACTAATATTTGATTATATCTAAATTGCTGAATCACTATAATTTATCTTTTTAAATGCCCGGTTGGGATAGGAATTTAATTTTTTGGGTGAAGAATAAAGAATAGTGGACAATTAAATTGGTGCGCGGTGGGGAAGAGGTGGTGCCACCTGTCCCCCCACCGCACCAATTGTTATGTAATTTAGTGGCACTTTCGTTTCACTGTTCGTTTCTGCCCGTTTTTGTAATATATTATCCGATCCATCATCTGACTCGGCCATATTCTTTATCCAAAAAATTTAATAAATAAAACGTGGCTAAGAAAGATTGGATATGATATTTCACCTTGCTCTCTCTCTCTCTCTCTCATGCCCTTTCATCATGAGATTATTGAGTTACAATTGGCTTATATTTATATTTATAGCATCTTCTTTTTCATGATTTTTGTCAGGTCATATAGAATGAAGAGGGGAAGAGAAAAAGCGGTAAAAAAGAAGAAGAAAATAATGGACAGATCTTTTGTGTGCATCAATATTTGACTCTGTCTGTTGAGTCATTGAGTTACCGTAATTTACATCCTTTCAAATATACTGTCGGGTCAAGGTGTAGGCATGGTTGCAATAGGCACTAGACGCTAGTCAGACGATAGAGTAGCGCCTAACGGTTAGACGGCCTAGGAGATTGCCTAAGTGGCTAACTAAAAAAAGAAAAACAATGCACATATATATATATATATATATATATATATATATATATATATATATATATATATGTGTGTGTGTGTCATATAAATGAAAAAAATTAGCAAGGTCAAGTCGGCTAACTCCACAGAAATGGACGAGTTAACTCGGTCAAATTCGGCCTAGGCGGTTGAGTTAGGCGGCCAGTCTCCTAAGTGGGAGCTTAGGGGGGAAATCGTCACGATCTAGGGACACCTAGCGTCTAGGCGCCAATTAATCGGTGCCTAGACATTATTTTTGCAATATTGGGTGTGGAGACCTTTGGGGTTGGGGATTCAACTTTTTGGGAGAAGAAAATGTGATAATACTGAATCATGTATATGTTAATTTAAGGAAAGTAATGGATAATTAAGGTGGTAGGTGAGTAGAAGGGGATTTGGCATTATATATATTCCATGGGAATTGAGTGTTGATAATTGCATCAACATCTTTAATCTTTTTGGTGTGAGTGATGTTCTTTGAGGATAAGTTATATATGCTTTTGGCATCTCCTCTCATCTTCCTAATTAACATTTTCTTCGCCAAAATTCTTTTTTTCCCACCACTTTTTATTAAAGAATAGCGTCACATGCCACTGCAAATCTGCAATGAGCCTCAACTTTCTACTAAAAAAACATTCCTTCTCAAAAAGTTCTCCGCAGAATCCTTGTGACTGAAGCCTTTTGTTTTGTTTGATTTTATAATAGGAAAAATGATCAAATACATCATTAAATTTTACACGAAAGTATAATTAAGCTTATGAATTTTTAAAAAGTACAATTAACACTCGACCATACATCTAAACTCAATAGTCAGTTATCTACATAGAAAAATCGATATCTAGAGTTCCTAGTGACAATTCTGACGAAAATTTCAGCGACTAGCTAATGGTCGCCGGTCACCATTGAAGAAAAAGGCAACCAACTGGCCGCCGATTGAATTTTTTTTTTTTTATATTGGTTACCAGTTAATAAGCGTCTATTTAACTACCATTTTCCATCAGATCTCACAAAATTAATAGTCACAATAGACCACACATTCACACCTAAAGACATGTTCTCACTTGAATAAATAAATAAATAAATAAATATATATATATATATATATATATATATATATATATATATATATATATATATATATATATAATGCAATAATAAAGAATACACAACAAACAAAAGTAGTACTGAACTATTGATGATCGAAATGGCATTGTAGACTATGCTTTTGCTTTATATCTTCATATATTGTGCTTCATCTTATTTCATCATTATAATCCACAGAACATGCTAACAAGTTTGGTGTCTGTCGATCTATATTATTAGTTTGGAAATTGGTGCCCAAAGTTTATGGAGTGAAATTTTCGCTACTTGTCTTAATTTTATTTGAGTGAAAAAAGAATAAAAGAAAAAGCACTTTAATTTTTTCTGAAACTATGAATATATAATGCATTATATTATACAATCAAATAATTAATGAACTTTATTACAATCCATAGGTAAATCGCTATAATATATAATAATAATAATAATAATACATTATAAAAATCAAATACAACACTTTTGAGCATACAAGAAGTCAAGAACTAACGACCAAACAAAGTATATGTGATACCGTCTCATTAGATGCTGGATCATTGTGCGTGAGACAGGTCATGTTGTAGACAACTGAGTCTATAAATATTACAATTTCAGTTATAAGTATTACAATATTTATCTTAATAATAATCAATTTTCTCCTAACCAATATCACAATTTCACATTTAAGTATTACAATATTTATCATAAGTAACAATTTATTTTTAATTCAAATTGGTATTAAACTTTTTACAATAAGCATTACAATTTCCTTCATAAGGAACATTTCACATATGGACTCATCCATTCTTAACCATAGGTCAACGGTTCAATCCTTGGCTTTGGGTATAGAGCAACTTTAAATTTCCAGGCCAGATGTCTCACCCAATAGAGGTGTCTACAATTCAGCGAGGGAATTAGTATTATGATTTCTATCATAAGTAACAAATAATTATCCTAAATTCGACTCATCTCACATATTGTGATATTGAGATCTGTGAGACGGTCTTACACAAGTGTGACTCATAATTATCTGCAATATTTTCTATTTTTAAATATGTTTTATTTTCTTTTGTTTTCAAATTATGATATGTAATTTTAATTTTAATTTTTATTTTGTATATATATGGAAATTAAATTTGAGAGTTCTCAATTAAAAATTGCATCTATATAGTTTTTCTCAAACATATCCTTGAATATGTTATTTCTCTTATTCTATCCTTGCACTTAATTTAAAGTATGAAAATCAAGAAAGTAAATTGTTGGCTGGTTATATAACTTGCTTAAAAAAAAAAAACTTTAATTTATCGTTCTAAAACCTGACAAAATTTGGTTAGTGGATGCTGGATGGTCCAGCATTTGGGGCAATATCACCTTAATCTAATTGCGAATAAGTGAAGCTAAGAGACATATTAGGCATTTTTGAAAAAAAAAAAAAGTTAAATAATCTTCTAAATAGTGCAATTAAACTTTTAATTGGAAAAAAAGTAATGAAATAATTCTAAATAATTTTTTTAAAAAAGTGGAATTATGCATACCAATCAAGAAAATTAAAATGTTAATTTCTCATCAAATTCTAAACATCCAAACACAATAAACAAGTATTTAAAATGAAGATGTGTTGTATGTGGTGACATCTGAGTGGCAGTGAAAATGACATGCACCTCTGGGGGTGGGGGGAGGAAAAGGACAGGACTCAATACCTCCAAGACATGTATGAAATAGAATTATTAGGCAAATTATGCTATCAAACCGTATCCATCATGCAAGGTAAATATGATTTTAAAACTGTCTTAATTGTGAATATAGAGTTCAAAAATTGTAAACATAGAGTTCTATAATTATGAACATAGAATTTTATAATTATGAACATAAAGTTCTATAATTATGAATACAGAGTTCTGTAATTGTGAATATAGGATTCAATAATTGTGAATATGAAGTTAAAAAATTATGAATATAGAGTTCAATAATTATAAATATAGAATTATGTAATTGTGAATATAAAGTTCAATAATTGTGAATATTAAGTTCAAAAATTATGAACATATAATTCAGTAATTATTAACTTCAAACTGTGTCCGAGGTGGACACAGTTCCACGACATAACAATTGGAATTATTACTAGCCTTATAAAATAATATTAAATTATTAACTCCCGTTGAACTAATCTTTCTTTCATATGAGGCCCAAAACATGTTGCTCATATTGATAAGATTTCTAAGCCCATTTGATGAATGATAGTGTAGGTCAAAATCAACAAATTTTACCGAGAAATAATAGTGGACCGTGTAGTAAAACATAAATAATTTATTTTTAATTTTAGAAAAAGAATAATGCATTACCATTTGTCCATATTATTGTATAAGCTCTATTTTTTAATTTTATTTTTAACACACTGTCTCACACGGAGTTCCACTACAGGTTCATTTGAAAATATTCAATTTCATTTTATGGAGGCAAGGTTTGAGTGCTTTACTTTCTTTCCTTGATTGAAATCTTCCCCCAATTGAGGATTCAAACCTAAGTAATTGTTAGACCACTGAACAATTTAGTTACATTTTGTATGAACTCTACTATCTGTAACATGATACGTCCACCGTATAACGATTGGTCAAAACCCAACCTAAATGAAGTTATCCCTTATTAGGAAATATGAGTGAGTTATCCCTATCCTGGTTGCTAACACTTGTTACATGGTTCAAAACTCTATTCTGCTTCCTATCTGACTTCACTCTTAGCACAGACTCTAACCCTTGAACAATATAAAATATGGACAGAATTGACTCCAAAAACCAATTATCTCAAGCAAATACAGACACAGTTCACTTTTGATGGGAACTCCATCAAAGAGTTTTTTAAGTACCCATTTTCTGCAACAGTTCTCTTAATAATGGCATCAATGACACTAAAGATGGTTGCACCTCCACAAGAAACACCACACTTATGGCTTCCAAGATGTGCATAATCAGCAACTCTAATCACTAGTTAAGACATTTTGATTTAAGAGAAAGTCCACAGCTACTACCCAAAGGTGCCTTTCAGCTTTCACCCCTTTGGATGAAATCCGCCTTGTGATCATAGGCAGCAAAGGACCTCTAATCACGAAAAAACCCAAAATGTGTCTTCCATCCTTTTGGGTGAAACCCGCATTGAAGAAGGCCAATAAATAACAACTCCTATGGAGAGTCAAACAGGAACCAAACACCCCACCAATTTGTGGTTATGGTTACCAACTTAGCTGGGTTGCCCCCACTAAACATCCAAGCATACAGTTAGAACAATGCAGCAAATAAACACCCTTTTGATTTATGTGCTTTGAACATCCATTGCCACACATGGATTTTGATTTCTAAGCAACTTAATAGATACTCTAATCATAGAGAACACCAAATGTGATTATACTCGTAACAATAATGTTGTCAAGCTCACACACAACCACCAAAAAAGCAGACTCGATTATAAGACAAGATACCCAGATACCATTCTCAGCTTCATATACTACACCACAGTTTTGATATAAACAAGTCACATATACACAGGCAAATAAACAAGGTAAACCATATATCAACACACTATAAACAAGAACACAGAATTTAATATGCCAACAACCATTTGTATATATTTGCAATTAGATCACCAGAGAGAATTCCCTTTGCAATACAAAATCAAACATATACTCCATAGCAATGATTCCAAAAAGACAAAAATCCCATGTATAAGATGGCCTTCAAAATGTTTTCAATGGCAAAACTAAAGACAATAGAGAGGAAATCATGTTCAAAAGAATGGGGGAAGCATTATCCAAGAACATATGATTATGTATGGGTACTGTTTTGGTTGCATTCCCTGGCAAAGTGGCCCGGCTGCCCACATTCATAGCACTTTCTAGATCCGCCGCCTCCAAAACTGCCGTAACTGCCGCCGCCGCCGCCGCCATTACAGTCCCTAGCCAAGTGCCCCGGCTGGCCACAGTTGAAACAACTTCCTCCACCGCCGCCGCCGCCACCGCGGCCACCACTTGGGCAATCCCTTGCCATATGACCGTACCCGCCGCAGGTGTAGCACTGTCCACCACCACCGCCGCCGCCTCCGCCTCCACCACCAGCCCGATCACAATCCCTAGCCAAATGTCCAGTCCTCCCACAGGTAAAACACTCCCCTCCTCCACCACCGCCACGATACCCATCCCCGTTCCTCCGTTTGTACCCGTCGCCTCCACCGCCACCACCGAATCCGTAACCACCGCCACCGCCGCCGCGGCTATATCCCCTACCACCACCGCGTGCGCTCTCGATCGGCGCACCGTCCGGTCCAGTGACATCAGTCGCCTGATACCTCCCTCCCTTCTCAATGACCACGAACTCCACCTCCTGACCTTCGTTCAGCGTCCGAAACCCTTCAGTCTTTATCGCCGTCTGATGCACAAACAGCTGCTCGCCGCCATCCTCCGGCTTGATGAAGCCGTACCCCTTCTGATCACTGAAAGTCACCACCGTCCCTCTCGATCTCCTCTCCTCCGCCATTGATCGATCACGAATCAGATTATTATGAATGCGTGAGTATGTGCGTGTGGTAGTCAGGTAGCGTTTATATAATAAATATTCGTGGCGTAGAGGGCGGGCTACCTAATCGAAACCCTAATACTCCTCATTCTTTGCAAAATAGCACTCCCTAAACACAAATTTATTTACATATCTCCCTCTATTTTGAATCCAATTCCTTTTATATCTTTTTTCAACACAAATTATTTGTTACAATACATTTTATGCTTATTTACAAATAACTTCCATAATCATGTGAGAACAATAATGCGAACTTGTGAATGATTGCACCGAACCTACTACATAATTGCACTGCACCCGAATACGATTGCGCCCCAAAATCCTCCCGACATGTCTGGAAGCCGTAACAGTACAATCATGTAGTAGTTGCAATGCAATCATTCACAAAAAGGTTAATGTTGATTCTCACCTGATTAGAAATCAACTTCAGATTAAATAAAAATCTGTCAACAAATCTTCTCAAAATTATCGAAATCCGCAATTAGGGCGTGGAAGAATAGAAAACTGGAGAAATGAAAAATTAGAGAAAGAGACTGAAGAATTGAAGTAAACGCTTGCCCGAGAGGGGAAGAGATTGTTTGATGAATGGAGATGTAGATGGAGAAGAGGAAAATTTTATAGGAATACAAAATTACAAAGGAGAGTTGTTGTTATGTGATCTATCTACATGGATGTAGTAGAGGAAAAGAAAAAGCACATAAGACATTAAGACAATGGCCGGAATTTTGTACATTACAGCAAAAAATTTAGTAGACTTCCACGTTCCATTGCTCTGCCTTCTTCAGTGTTCTCTTGTATTCTGCCCAGTCAATCCCTGAAACAAGAAGAAGAAGAAGAAGAAGGTAAGAGTAATAAATGGAAGAAAAATGAGGACATTATGTGGACATTATGTTACCATCTCTAGCAGCAAGTGAGGTCATAATGTCATCAATTCCCTTCTCCATGCCCTTCAGTCCACACATGTACACAAATGTGTTGTCTTTCTTCAGCAACTCCCACAGCTCTTCGGCGTATTGCGCCATTCTGGTTTGGATGTACATTTTCTCGCCTTTCTCGTTCGTTTGCTCTCTGCTCACCGCAAAGTCCAGCCTGAAGTTCTCGGGAGCCTTCTCCTTCATCTTCTCGAATTCCTGCCCACGTTCACCATAACAGACTTTTAGTTGAGACAGAACACATCTTTCAATTTGGTATCAGAGCAGCGTTTCTATGTGAGAGCAGTGATGAAAATTGAAATTACCTCCTTGTAGAGCAAAGAGCTGCCTGTGGGAACACCCAAGAAAAGCCACGCCAAGCCGTTGAACTGCACAATTCTTTCATCAGTTACTCCGCTTTTCCTATTATACTTGCAGCTCACAAATCTATGGAACTAAAATAGTGCACAAACTGAAAATTACCTTGTAGTCTTCGTGCTTCTCGAAGAACATCTTCCACAAGAATGAGCGGAAAGGGGCTATTCCAGTTCCAGTGGCAAGCTACAATGATTCGAGGAGAACAAGAAAAACATAAGTTAATGGGCAATCAACTATGCCAAATCACGATATGATGTTGTAAGACTATTGTTCGGGGGCAGGCAATTATATGTAATGTACCATTATAACCGTGGCGTTGGGATCCTTGGGCATGAGCATCTCCTTCCCAACAGGTCCAGTAATCTTCACTTCAGCTCCCGGTTTCAAGTCACCTGACATAGAGAGCGTAACAAGTTACATATATGGCTAAATGCTTATTCTACAGCGTAATCTACTCCATATGATCTGAAGATAATACGTGTCATCAGTTCTTACATAAAAAGTTCGAGCAAACTCCTTTAACGATTTCACCCTTGTCATTGGTGTAGACAAGCCTTTTGACACACAGAGAAACCTGTGTAAAACATTAAACTTTAAACCTATTCATCTTACATATGAAGTTCAGTCCTAACAGAGACACATAATCATTAAACATCCTTCAGAAACCATGGCTATAAGATTCAAGATCTATTTAACTTAACCGGCATTAAAAGTACAATATTGACACCCTTTTCAATTTTAGTTACATAAGCTTACAGTCTTGGAGTCTCCAAAGTCGCCAAGGGCGCTGCTGGCAATTGAGTACAACCTCAACTTGTGAGGCTTCCCATTGGCGTCAACTCCATCAGCAATAACCCCAATAGATTGTCCTTCTCTGTAAGGGACTTCCCCTAACAAAACCCGAAACACAAATCAGCCCGACAACACCAAACTTCAATTAAAACCAATCAACACTCGCGATTTGGATATATTATGTAACAAGTGAACAGAAGAAATGTATAACGAGAGCAGCCCGAGTGCCATACCCTCAGTGCTGAAGACCATGTGCCAAGTTTCACCAGGGGCATCATCTCCAGTGATCTTGGTGTTAAGAAGGCATCTCCCTATGTAAGGCTCTTTTGGCTTGAACTTGTTGGTTACTATACCCTCATCCTGTTTCTTGGAGATCTTCTCAACCTTGGCAGGAGCCTCAGTAGTTACCTGAGCTCTAATGGGCACCAGTTTCCCACCAGATGACACATTTCTATAGTACAAAGGCACCTACCCAAAACACAATTCAGTTCCCTTTTGTCAGAATTCTTATACAAAAACACAGTACTTCCACAGAAGAGTGAATGAATCTACCAAAACAATTCAGTTCCCTTATCACAAAGATTATCAAGAAAACAGTCATTCCACACAGGAAAGTAAAAAAGACTGTAACTTTAGGCAAAAAGTGAATGAACCCATCAAGAATTCAAGACAAACTCACAAACCCAATTTTGCTATCAGAAAAAAGCATGATTTATACAAATTCAGGCAAGAAGTAGTGTACCTTGTTGAAGCAGATTTTTTCAGGGGAGATGATAGAGGTTCTGCTAGCAAGAGAGGTGGACTTTGATGATGGAAGAGAGACTGCAGCACTCACTGCAGCAGCCATTTCTGTAATAAATGGAGAGGAAAAACAGTATAGTAAAGAGATCAAATGGTAAGGGAATAGTGGGAGGAAAAGAGGGAGAGGGTGGGGGATGTTTTAGTGGGAGTGAAAGGATTAAGGATTGAGTGGAGGATATTTGAGAGGCTAAGGCAGTGGCAGGTGTGAGGATAAGTAAATGTATGATTCTCAAGTGATTGCTCACTCACTCTGTGGACATAAAACCATCACATTTGATTCTCTGATTCATACCCTTACCAAATAATAACTAGTATTCCTACATGTCACACATTGGAGCTTATAAATAATTATATTTTATGATTGGGAAGAAAATGGATTTTTGCATGTTTTAAGATTATTTTGTCAGTTAGTAACTTCTCTAGTTCACTCTGAAAAAAATCTTGACCCCTCTAAGTATTTGTTTTTACAATAGAAAAACAACTGGCCTATTAGCTCAGATGGTTAGAGCGTCGTGCTAATAACGCGAAGGTCACAGGTTCGAGACCTGTATGGGCCAAATTTTCACCATTTTTAATCCTTAAATTTTATTGAACCACATCCATCAAACACTTGATAAGTCAACACTTTTTAAGCATTTTTTCCACACACATACATTGCACAATTGCATATTTCACTTTGCAAAGGAGACTCACAACACTAAATAGCTATACCACAATGACCAAATTAGGAATGCCATCCCTCTAAATAACTATACCACAATGACCAAATTAGGAATTACAAAATGCTTTTGTGGAGGGAAGAAGCAAGTCGGGGGCGATGCATCCCTCGGCTACTTGCAGACAAGCAGAAAAAGCAACTGTATACGATGACCCCAGGACAGAAATCTAGGAGAAAGGAAACTTTGCTGCTCTAACGCATATCTCCATAAAAACTCTTTCACTTCGAAAGTCCTCGTGAACCTCCTCCCTTCACGGAGGGGCTAGTAATTGTCTGTGAACTCATACTTGCAGTTCTTAAAAGCCTGCGGAATTCTGATAAGCTTATCTTCCCATCTTTGTCGATGTCTGCTTCCTCTAGAAGTGGGTCTATGGAACCTTTTAAGCCCGTATGCTGCAAGACATTATTGTAATTAAACAGACATCCAAAATCATGTTTTGAACTTGTAAAGAGAGAGTTTTTGAATGTGCTGTCGTATATTGTCTCAAACTGTCTTATAGAAAAGAGAATACAAAGCCCTATAAATAGGTGCTAGAAGACTACGAATAGGAAACAAGTTTCCATATGTCTACCTACCTAAATCCGACTGCCTAATCTATAGAGATTCCATATATTAAATATATATTCCTAAGATTGCCTAATCTATAACAGAACTCAAAGAGAAAGTGCATCTGATCTTAAAGCTTCTAAAAGTGTGCCAAGTAAGCATCTTTTCATTTTATTTTTTTATCGAGATTGACACGTGTGCAAAGTAGAGGAGCAAGCATATGCACTTATTAACCAGTCAAGAATAAAATGCTGACCATTTTAAGTTCTTCGGGAGTAATAAATCCATCTCTATCAACATCGAATTTCTGAAAAGCAGCTTGTGATCTTTGCAGCCATTTTTCTGAGTTGTGTTCCTCCATCTGATGAACATGTAAAGTGGCAGCAACAAACTCGGGGAAATCTATGAGACCATCAGTATTGACATCAATCTGCAAAGCAAATGCCTATTACCAATCAGGAACCGTGGGAAGTTAAATTGAATAAGCACAACAGACTTGACGCTGTTCAAAATGAAGCTTTTCTTTAGTTGCATGATATGCATGAAAGTTGCAAAGGAAATCCCGGGGACATATGATGCAATAGATGCTTCAAACCCAAGCATTTCCTCCATTATCACTCTATCACCATTTTCTCCGTTTTTTCCCCTCTAAACATGCAATATATGACATACACAAGGGGATTGATGAACAGGTAGGTGTGAGACAAAATAAAGGATGCTTAAAACTCGAATGAACATACCGCTTGAAGAATCTCAATTACGCGTGAGTCTTTCATTCTCCATGGACGATCCTTAGCAAGAGCCTGCATCAAACGTGTTTGTATATATATGAGCATCAAGCACAGCCATTTTAGCCTTGCACTGTATGGAAGAGACTTACCTGTCTCATTTCTTCAAGACTAATGACACCATTTTTATCCACATCAATGGCAGCAAATTGATCTTTTAGATCAGCCAACTCCTCATCGTCTAGTGTGGTTGCTAATGCCTGCAAGATAATGAACCAACATTTTAAAAAAATGAAAACTATGGTGGAGAGAATGGATTAATTTGAACTAAATGAATATATGAAATTACCCGTAAAGCAAACTGCTTTAGGCGGCTGTATTTAACAAATTGTCGCATATTGGACAGAACAGAGATGTCTAGAGGAATGTCGGATGCATTACCACCTTCTCGGACCCATGGATGTGCTGCAAATTTTGAACTAGATAGGTTAAACAATCCAGAAGCATATAGGTTGAAACCTTCATGAACCATTTGCCACTGCAATTCTCTTAAAAATAGTAACTTTCAAATGCAGAATAATAGGACTTACACAGGGCCTGGGCAGCAGTAAGTCTAGCACGAGGGTCCTTCACCAATAATTTTTTAACAAAATCTTTAGCACTGTTGCTTATGCTTGGCCATGGCTTGCGACGGAAATCAGGTTTGTTTCGTAGCACCTACAGACACCATGCACACACACACACACACATGTATATATATGAATTTGAATACTAAAGTTCATAAGGCATGGATTAAATTAGGATTCAATAAATAGCATTTAGAGAATATATTAGTCCAAACTTATTGATAATATTGATCCACTATGTGCATTTCGGGCACAGTAAGGAACAGTGGAAATATAAAGCAGAATTGCATGGAGCTAGTTGAAGAATATAATTCAAAGCTTTAAAGAATTCATAGAAGTCACAGGGAAAAAGTGTCAGTAATCTACCTCCTTGAATATCCCATCTTCGGTTTTATCCCAGAAGGGCCGCCTTCCACAAAGCAAAATATAGGTTATAACACCAATGCTCCATACATCTGATTGAGGACCTGATCTACGTTTCAGTACCTCTGGGGCAACGTAATATGCACTACCAACAATATCATGAAATTTCTTCCCTGCATTTTTATTCTTTCATGAGAAGTTCATAACTTGAAGATATCTTAGAGTAATCAAATATTAGAGTTAATAAAATGTCAAATAAAGTACATTCCAATATCTAATCACCTGGTCTTATGAAATCTGAAAGACCAAAATCCGTGGCCTTAAGTGGAGAATCCTCTTTTGGTGATTTGAGAAGAAAATTCTACAAACAAAAAAGGTGACAGGAAAGTAGCATATACAGCAGCACACTTAAAGGATCAAATACTAATGTTCATACCTCGGGTTTCATATCACGATGCACCAGGCCATGTAAATGACATTCTGCTGCAACTTTTAGCATCTGCCGTACAACTATAGCTGCATCTTTTTCAGTATAACGGCTGTCTTTTCTGCTTAAAGGAAACTATTTATAAGTCCTATATATTAATCCTTCTTATTCAGAAAATCATATGACAAAGCAGATATTCAACCTATGGGCTATGAATACATTCCATACCAAAAGTTGAGGAGACTTACTTTGCTAAAATACGGTCCAGAAGTTCTCCACCTTCACATAACCTTTAAAAAATTTTAAGAAAAAGACTTCAGAATAAGAGACATACTTGCAACAGCAGTTACATGATTATAAATGGGGTTTCATACAAATGGAGGCCCATGCACATAAACTTACTCCATTACAATATATACATAATCATCATCCTCAAATGCATTATGAAATTGAACCACGTTCTCATGACCAGTTAAGGCCTTTAATATTTTGACTTCTCGCTTGACATCCTCAACTGCCATGGGAAGAAGCATCTGTTCACAAATCCGAAATTGTTATTATAATCGCTACCAAAATAGTGAGAAATACACACTTCAACTGCAATGTAACTGATCACACGTTTTACTCAAACATTTCAGGTTTGGACTATGAATTTATAATCACGAGTTGCATGACAGTTGCACATTTATTTCATTAGATCTTCATAGGTATGAATAAAAGAATTGGTTTAAAGGAACCAGTGGAAGTTCATAAGACTTGGGAGAACCCCAGTAAAGCAGTCAACCTGAAACATATCAGTGGCTAGCTATAAATCTATAATTTAGCATATAATATATAGACATAAATGTGCAGGCTTTTAGTTGAGCAACAAAGCACATCCTTCAATTTGGTATCAAGCCAACCCCAAGGTCTTGAATATGTGCGCCACCCGATAAAAAGAGACTTGGAACCCATAAAAAAAAAAGGTAATCGGCCTACACATATGAGGGACGTGTTAAGTATATACGGAGTAATATATAAACATATGTGTGCAGTACAACTATCAGCTTAGTCTTTTAGTTACCGAATCATAAGAACTCCTCCACATTTACAGCATAGAGGCACACAAAATGATTGAGAAATTGGGAACATAATCTGAAATGAAATTCAAACTGATTTCCACTTTAGACAAAGTAACTAATCAAATAGGATAAGCTATATCCAGTAGTTAGGCCAAGAAAGCAAATTTAAGAACACAGAAAATAAAAAGGAAATAATGAGGACCTTCTTCTTCTCGATTCTTTTAACAGCAACTCGATCTCCAACAGACTTGTCAGTAGCAACATAAGTGTATCCAAATTGACCATGTCCCAACAACTTGCCAATTGTATACCGCTTATCAAAATCCTTATCATACCCAAAATCCGTTCTTTTCCCGCAAGGGATAACCACAGTTTGACTCCTGTGACTGGGCTTAACATTTAAATTCTTATATTTCTCGCATGGTTCTTTAGCCTTCCTTCGATTACAACGTGATCTCTCCTCATCTTGTGCTGATGTGGCAGTGGTGTCAGACCGCGGCTTTGCGGTGGGATTGCTGTTGCTGTTGGAGCCACTAACTTTTGAGCTCGAAAGGCATATACCCATTTCCCCAAATATGGATATGGATAAAACCCAAAGTTTTCTTCAGATTCTTTGACGGATCAGAAGGTTCACAAGCATAAGATGATGATTCAACAAAATATGGGAAATGATCATTATACACAAAAATAAAAGGGCGAATGGAGAATCAACTCCGCGTCCGTTTATACCAAAGTGAGAATTTAGGAGGAAGGTATGGTGGAGCAGCCAAGGAGGAAGAAGAGAAGAAGTTGCTGACTTGCTGGTCAAAATAGACTTTAGAGGAGACAGCAGAAGCCCGTTCCCGAAGGTGATCCCCTGCAGGGGTTTGCCTGAAGAACCTCCAAATTTCTTTCTTTTCAATATTATTTTTGTACACAAGACTTTAATAATTATTTTATTTCTCTCATTCAGTCATACTTATTGTTTTTTTTATCAAATTAATATTTTTAACTATTTTTTTATTTAATTTAAATTTAATTTTTGTGTTTAATAATAATTTTAAGTGTAATTTTTAAATATATAAATTTTTATATACTAATATTAAATTTAATATTATACAAAATTAAATTAAAAATAATTTCAGTTAATCCTCATTAATTGAAATAGACATTAAATGAGACGGAGTGAGTATTATTATTTGTCTCAGTATCAACTCAATTAATTGATTAATTCAAAATAAGTTAACAAATTTATTTTATTAGTAGATGTAGCGTGCAGGTTCAAAGAGAGGTCGAATATGTATCTCTTACACCAAGTAGTCTTTAAGGCAAAAGCGATAGAAACATTGGAATCTAATCGTTTCATAATAATTATTTGTAATTTAATTTGTTGTAAAAAATATCATTGTCAATTTGGTTTTTTTTTTTTTTTTTAACATAATATATTAAGAACGAATAGAGTGACATACTACTTGGAATAGTAATAATGATGCCACCAAATCACAATCTACTTGATTGAATTTGAAAATGGTTAATGTAATTTCAATTCAAATTCAATGAAAGGAATTTAAACATCAAATTAATGACAAATCATTTTTTTAAATGGAACATTTGGCATGTCAAAATTGCAACAACCCGAGATTTCGAAATCCGCTTCTAAACTTAGAAAATAATAAAATTAAGAGTAAATACCCAAAATGGTCCCTCAACTATAGCTAAATTCACAAATTGGTCTTCAACTTTTTTAACCAATTAAGTCCTTAACTTTGTAATTTTAACACGATTTGGTCCTTCGGACACTTCTGCATTAACGCCCGCGCCCGCGCCGTCATCGACGATCTCTAGAAGAACCTGCAGCTCTCTTCGGAGCACATGGAAACCTCCAGGATGACGCTGCACCGGTTCGGAAACATGTTGTCTTCTTCACTCTGGTACGAACTCAACTACATTGAATCTAAAGGGAGGAAGAAGAAAGGCGACAGGATTTGGCAGATTGCTTTCGGCGGTGGATCCAAATATAACAGTGCGGTCTGAAAATGCAACCGAAACCCTAAAAAATCGACGATGGACCATGAAATTACATATATATCCTCAAAAATCACAGTCAACAAACGGTCAAATAGACGGAGGACCAAATCGTGTTAAAATTACAAAATTAAGGACTTAATTGATTAAAATTAAAAGTCAATGACCAATTTGTAAATTTAGCTATAGTCGAAGGACCATTTTAGTATTTACTCTAAAATTAATGTAATGACTACCTTATCATTTTTGTAATTTCAAAACCTCTCCACTAATGTGAAACTTTCGGCGTTACCAACTCACTTCCACGATCGGCCTGAGCTCTAGCCCGCACATCCTCGAGGTTGCCGCCGAGGAACAGGTGGTGGTGAAGCAGCGCTGACTGGTCGGAGCTACTTCGGATCCACCGCTGCACACCATTCGCCTAGGAGTGCCTCTCAATTTGCGTTGAACAATATGTTGTACTAGCTTTTAAATATGTTTTATAATAATGTTATATTAATTTTCAATATTCTTTAGTTAATTTGTATTGTTTTGTATTATTTTACGTTTGATGCCCTGATTGTATAGACCAATATTAATACGTATTCAGCAAAATTATTGATAAATTTAAAATTAATAAAATAAAATTTTGAGTATTCCAAAATAACCTAAAATGTTATCACCTGAATCATATATATATGATATATCTAAATTATTATTTAGTTTGAATATCACTTGAACCGAATTGAATAGATGCCCACTGCTGCAAATAAACAAGGATGAAATTTTGTGGGTTCAACTCAAGTCGAATTTAAATTAGTCTCACATAAAAAAGTAAATAAATAAAAAAGACTTCTTTTGTTTATTATTCACCTAAACTAACAACCAAATTCAATGAATCATTATTGTTTCTAAATTCGTTGGTTATTGTACCTTCCAAATTAAATCAATTTTTTTTTTCTTTTTTCCCATAAAAGTTCCTCTTAAAATCATTAAAAAAAATATTCAAAAACCACTTATAAAAAGAACCTTCAACCACTTTTCAATTAAATATTTTGTACATAAATAATGACTTCTTCTTATTTTAAGTTTCCTTTTATAATATAAAACATGAATATGAAAAATCAAGTAAAATCAATTAATAAAAAATATATTTAGAAATGCGATATAAATCTAACTAAAATATGCACAAGGTCTTAAGGTTATTATGTATAAATTTTATATTATTTTTTGAAGTGAAATAAATATGTAAAAATGTGTCTAACTTTCACCACCATAGGCCATAGTTACTTTTTACGATGAAATAATTGCATGAAATTAAAAATCGTGGAATATATTTATTACACGTGCACAAAGTGTGCTTTAATCTACTTTGTTATCAAAATAATTTTGTTTTAAAGATCCAAAAAAGTGTAGAACCATATGAACAAAGTCCCATCACTATTGGGAAAAAAAAACACAAAAAAAAAATAAAATAAAATCAATTCAATTGTTCACACTGACGGGGAATCCCTAGTGTCACCATCGCTTTCGGAACAACTACACAATTAAGTTTCACACTTCAAATAAATTATTTAAAAATTTGGGAGCAGTGGGACCTACCTTCATAAATCGTAGTCAACTAACTCGGTCTTTGTTTGGTACTTGTATATATTGACTTGGTCTCATTTTGGAACATTAAAATTGCTTAGAGCATCTTTAAGACTTAAGAGGTTTTTTTTTTTTTTTTTTTTTTTTTTCTTTGAAGAGAACTTAATAGGGTTTTTGAGTAATTTTTTTTCAAAAAGAAAAAGTTAGAGGTGAACTTTTACTCTTTAATTCTTGCATGAGTCACATTCTTCCAATTTTAAAAATAATGTCCTACAACTTGAAATAGTTCGTAAATAATTGATAATTAAATTTAAGATCAATAGATGGTTCATGTATGACAAGTAAGAATCAAATTTTAATTTACATACATGATTTGAACCAAGTATTAGCAGTCTAATTCGCAAGGTTAATCATGTTAACGTTAATCATTGAAAAAAATAATTATTGTCAAAATAGTCGATAGATCAAAGGACAATTATTACTAATTGTTACAAATTAAATAGAAATATAAATTGTCATAACGGTTATTACTTATTACCCAGTAATAATAAGTTATAAAGGTCCTTCATTCACCATGATGGCTAATTACTCCCACCATGAATACATTACTATTTTTCACTATAAAAAGACACCATGATGGATGAAAGGGGAGGAACATCCATTTTAACTCAACAAAAATTTCTCTACACTTCTAAATTCTATGATGAAATTGTTGATAGTTCAAATTCTCTAATTAAAATACGTTAAGGGTATTAAAGTAAAAAAAAAAAAAAAAAAAAAAGAGTCTAGCATAAAAGATAACATCTTAACCAAACAAGTTTATATTACATATTTCAGTTTTAATAAAAAAACATGAATTTAACATTCTTAAAGTCATTTGAACTTCACTCCTATTCAGATAATTTTCTGGATTCACCACTGTAACTGCAAAATTTATAACATATCACTCTATCGAATTTACAAAGCATATTTCTAGATTTTTTTTATATTTCATTTACGCAGTAGAGATTATTTAAACTTGTCAATATAAATACTTCAAACATTCATGACATTAAGGCATTGAAACAAAACAATGGAATAAACTATAAAAGTATTATAGTTAACGCTATCTCTTTACTAAATACTTATTACATGATATAAACTTTACGAATTATGATAGGAAATTCATTATAATATAGTTAAGTATAAGTGTGGTAAAAATTGGCAAGAAGCTAAGGTGAATAAAAGGATGATATTTATAAAGATTTTTGTGTAAAACATGTGGTTTGATGTGCATACTCAGCTCGAATGATCTTGACAGCACGTGACATGCATGATATGATGCTTAATATATAATAATTGTACTTTGGAGCCCTACTCTAAACCTAAAACCCACCGGCCCTTGCCATTTTCTTCTTTTAGTTCTTTGGTTGGCATTTTTTCTAGCCACGTGCATCTTTTCCCCTAAACTTTTGTAGTTTTTGTCTACTTCGTTTAGGGTTAGTTGCCAATTCAATTGTATTTAAAATCAATAAAACTTTTGATTCTTCATCCCAACAAGAACAACAACGGAGAAGATTTTCAAAGAACGTCGACAAAAATAAATCGGGGAAGAGGAAAACGGGAGGCTTTTACCTTTCTCGTTCTGCCCCAGTATATATATATATATATATATATATATATATATATATATATATATATATAAGTTTTGTGCTTAATGTGCGTGAGTTTTGTGCTTAACGTGCGTGGGTTGGTGCTTAATGTGAGTAGTTGTTGAAACTTAAAATGTCCCTGAGTTTTGTGCTTAACATGTGTGAGACTTGTGCTTAACATGCGTGGGGTTATGTTTTTGAGGTGTTTTGTTTGTGTGCGTATGTATTATACTTTAAAGGCGTCTGATTAATGCTTAACGTGCGTCTACCCGCACAATGACACGAGAAGCCCCACCCACACCTGATCCCTTTCCTACCGAGACAATCCGTTTGATTTTGGACAAATTTTATTTGGCTATTAGACTTATATATATCTCTTCGGATTAATTGATTCATTCTAATATAGTTATTGGGCCAACAGAGTGTGAGCCGAACTAGACTAGAAAAGGACAATGGGCTGATTGTTTGGGTTCAAAGGCCCAGCCCGTCTTCAAAAGGACCAATCTAAAACCAAGTTCAAATTCCAAAGGCTGGGAGCCACGCCGCCTCAATATTCTAACGGTCATTTCATTTTTGCAAGTTTCCCCCTTCATCCACGCCTCGACAAACTCTATTTTACTAACGCTTTAAAACTGCCATTTTTTTATTTTATTTTATTTTTTTAAATCTCGCTCTCTCTGAAGATCGTAGGCGATCAAGAGAATCTCTGCCATTGTTATAGCTCTGAGGATTCAAATGGAGACCCCATCATCAACCAGAAGAGTGACAAGATCACAGACCTTGGCTTCAAACGCCTCCGCCATCCCCAATTCAAGTGAGCGATCTTATAATCTAATTTCTATTTCTACTTGTTTTCAATTTCCGAAATTCTTGATTTGATGTTTCAATGCCGGCTTCGGAGTTGAGAGAAAGCAACAAGATCTGATTTTTGTGATACCCATTTTTGGAGTTTAGAGAAAAGCGAAGAGTCTGAGAAGAAAGGATCAGAATTGAGGGCGAGAAATGGGAAAGTGCAGCAAGAAAGATCAGCCATGATGGACATCAGCAATGACTCATCACCCATTGTTGGGCTAACAGCGGAGACTCTGGAGACTCCATTATCAAGCATGTCTAAGAAAATGGTGAACAGTAACAGTCAAAGCAAGCACAGCAAGACTCCTGGCTCAGGAGAGGCTCTGCTGAGGGGCCAAGTTAAAACCTTGTTGCAGAAAGTTGAAGAAGAAGCTGAACTCTCTAAATTCCCCTTTGACCAAAACCCTTCTATAACCCCTCAGGTATTTTAAACCATCTCTTTTGTTAGGATCAAACGCTTACAACTACTCAAAACCTATAATTTGTTTGTTGAGACTAGAACCCAACAATCTCCAACCACATGGTGCTGGATTTGGTCCTTCGTGCCTCTGGCCAACATCTTTGTTAAATTCTTGATTTTGGGGTCATGATGAATTTAATCAATCTTTTTTTTTTTTTAGATGATTGATGGGAAGAAAGAAGAAGAGGTTGAATCTGATAAAGGTATGGTGGTTACTCGGTCACTGTTATCGGATTTTTCTACTGAGAAGTCAGAGGCGGCAGATTCATCATCAGACCGCTCATCCATTTGGTCAATTCAGGTGAATGCAAGTGTGGGGGATGAGGATGAAGATGAGAAAAGCGTTGTTGATGATGATGAAGATGTATGCGATGATTATTACGAAGAAGAAGAAGAGGATGAGTGGGGGAGGGGTGGAGGATTGATTGATGAACTTTGTGAAGGAATAGGGAAGATGAGTGTTAAAGCTAAATTTGCAGGTAAGCACACACGATTTGTGTACAACAGCGACGGCGAGCTTGAAGGAGTGGAAGAGGAGAGTGCAGCCGCCGGTGGCGCCGCCGCCGCCTTGCATGGTGCTTTGCATTTGAAGGGGTTGCCTACGCCAAAAGGAAAACACATTCGTTTTTCTGAAGAGGATAACTGAAATTCAAACTGCTTCAACTTTTTTTTTTTTTTTTTTTCCTATACGGATTATTTGTATAGGAAAAAGATTTGCCTTCATTGATATCTAAGAGCGCAAAATCAAATACAATGTGAGAGTTTCACCCTTTTGTGGAAATGTAGACTCCTTCACAATTCCTATAAAGATAAGAGATTTCACAATCTTTTTTTTTTTTTGAAAACGATTTCACAATCTTTATAAGCCCAAAGAATTAATAAGATTTAATTTCTTAAATGGAGTTAAATACTTTGGACTAATTTTTTTTTTTTAATTTTTTTTTGAATTAGTAGATTTGTTTTGTCCTTTTAACTTTTTACTTTTTATTTTTTTAGAAGAAAAACCATATATATTATAAATTCATAATATCATTACAAAGAGCTTGGAAAATAAAAGAAGGACCGGCATCACACGAAAATCGAGAACCCACAAAACGACAATAAACATTTGATAAAAAATTTAAAAGAGTACGAATATCGTGAACAATCAAACCAAATGACCAAATGGCGATCGATCCTAGCTGATTAATAAGATGTTTTGCATCTGTTTCAATTATAAAACCATCATAATTTCGATCCTTTAGTCAACTCAAAGCTTCCCTCACCGCTAAAGCCTCCGCCTCTCGTGCCAAACATGCCCCCTCTCTCCCCACTGCCCCTGCAACGAATTCCCCCGCCAATCCCGAATAACCCACCCCATACCCATCGTGTTAGCATCGATACACATTGTGGCGTCCACAACATACTGTTAATTTTTATATACCCCATTTTGAAATAATATACTCTGTGATATTTATTCATGGTAAAAATTTGTGTGAGATAAGTCTGGTTAAGATGAAAATGTGTACTAACAATCAAAATAAAATTTTTATTACTTTTTTTTTTTTTTTGGTAACAAACACTCGCAAAACATTATTTATAAGGGAAATGTAATATTTTTATATCAAAATGTAAAAGTATTATACTTTCTCTAAGTAACAAACAAACAATTATTCCAAATCAATATTACATTTTCATTGACGAACCTGACCAATCCGACTCACATAAAAAAAATCGTGAGACATCTTACACAAGCCTACGTAACGCTTTATTCATTGATGGGTTGTAATGAATTGAAATTGTGTGCATTTGAAGTTGGGGAGTGTGGGCTCAAGAGTATTCAACCTCCATCTCCCTGCAGGGATATGATAAGGAGGAAAAGGAAGCATGTCCATATCAAGAGTAGCTTCAAGTATTTACCACAACACAAAATAAATAAATAAATAAAATGAATTGAATTAAGATGGTGCAACTAACCACTTAAGCAGCCGCCAGGCCACCACATTTCACCATCAATAAACAAACTACTATACATTAACAGACTACCCGTGAATTGAAGTGGACGCAAAGAAATTAACAAATTTAAATTTCCCCATTGCATCATATGATAATGATTCTTCATTCTTCATTCTGTTTCTTTTCCATTTTTCCTTTATACTCCCCAACCCCCCTTAGGTGTTCTTATAATAATTAGGAATTATCACAAACCATTACTAACAAACAACCCTTAGCTAATTAGCTTTTGCTGATCCCCCGCCCCCCCCCCCCCCCCCCCCCCTTATATATACCCAAAATTAATGCACCAAACTCACACCACAAAACTTTGTCCTCATCTTCATTAATACTCACTACTGCAAGATATATTGCTACTATTGTGATGGAGGGTGCGGTGGAGGGTGTGGTGGTGCGCGGCCGTGTCCAGATCGACACCCGGAAGCCTTTCCGGTCGGTTAAGGAGGCTGTCCTAATGTTTGGGGAGAAGATTTTGGCCCCAGAAATTTATGCCAAGCAAATCAACACTACTCAGGTTTTTCTCCTCCCTCCCATTCACTCTATTCTTACTTTCCATGATGTATGTGTGTAGGCAATAAGCTCATCGTACTGGTTGATCAATTCAAAAAAAAAAAGAGTTAATAGTTCTGTTTCGCTAACAGTTCAACCTTAGGGATGCATGCTTAACTAAGTTCATGCAAGAAGTTAATAAATCTATCCACAAAAGATGAAATTTCCTCGAGCCCTACAAAGACTCAGCGGTCAATCAGGTGGAAAGACCTGTATTTGGTACTCACAAGGAGCACACATATTGGAGTAGCCACTAAGGATTCCGATCAGTGTTCTTACTCACGTACAATCAACCACCCAGGATCCAACTAATTAAGTTGTTTGTGCAGACAAAAATTAATAATATATCCTGCATGCATGGATGAGTAATATGTTTTTTGGTAGGTGCATTCAAAAACAAGTGGGGAATTAGGAGAAAAGCAGACGACTACCACAAGATTTGGAGGAGTAAAAGCTGCAATAGAGCTAGAAGAGACAAAGCAAGAGCTCGGAAAAGCCAAAGAAGAAGGAACATTAATGGCGCAGTGCCTTCAATCTCTCAAGGAAGAACTGGAACAAACAAAGAGAGAAATCCAGCAGCTCAAGGCGGCAAAAGAACAGCGCGGGGCAGAGATTGAAGAGCTCAAGTTTATTGAGAAAGCGCCACCCAAACCCGAAGGTTATGATGAAGAAGAAGAAGATCAATTATTCGAGAGAAAGAAGTCAGTGAAGTTCGCTAACCCTCCGGCGCTCACAAGGGTGATTAATCTCACTAAAGATAATAATAATAATAATACTGATAGCCCTTCACTACAGGCGAAGAAGAAGTTGAAGAGGAGGCCTCTCATCCCTCTCATTGGAGCATTGTTTACAAAGAAAAAGGGAAGCCAATGAAATATTATATTGGAAGATCATATCAATTCATAAAGTTGTTGTTTGTAAGTGTGAGGATCGAACTTTAATTAATTTGGACAAGAAATTCAAAATAAATCAGAGAGAGTAAATTCCATTTCATGTTACTATAAAGTTAGCTGTTTCACTTTTTCCATTAACTCTCAATCAAACTCACTTTAATTATATTGCGCTATTATTACATACATTATTATGTGTGTATTTTTCACTTAATATCTTATTATTGAAAAACTCTAAATTTTTTTTTTTAATTAGAAATTAATTTTAATATCATTAGTATGATAGCCGTACTCATTATTTTTCATATGCTTAAGGTTCATATATTTGTCATGATCTGTTCATTGTTCATGATTATTATCATCCATATAGCATGATCATTAGCTATAAAATTAACATTAACCCTATTTGTCGCGCGGAAAATTTAGAGAATAAATGGTTGTGGAGTTATATATTATTTACAATGTCTATAATTAGCTTGGGATATTGGGGAAAATTAAAATTTTGAATACTACACCATTAATAATCCTTTACTTTTTAGCTAAACCTAACCCAATACCAATATTAACAGAGATGTCATCCAAAAAAGGGAGATCCAATAATGGATAAGGTATACAAACTAGGGTCATGTAGAGACAGATGCCCAAAACTGATGGGACTTTTCAGTTCATTTTAGTCATAATGAGTATCAATGAAATGACTAGGAATCTCCGCTTGAGAGGATGAAACTCGGGCCCTTCTGGAGTAGTTTGGTGCGGCCCAATTTGTTGATAGGATTTTGCAATATGTGAGTTCTCAAATCTCAATTGATAGATGAAATAACAGACAAGAATTTCAACTATTGACTCTTGATGGTGAAAAGGGATTTATGTTTCAAATTATTGGTAATTATGGCCTTGTTTGGTAAAATAGTTAGCTTATAGATTAATTTTGTTTTATTTGATTATTATTAATTTTTTTGTGGTTAAAAAATTAATATAGTGTTTGACTAATTAGTATTTTACAATTTTAAAATGTTAAAATTCAAAAAGCTACTTTTAGACCACATTTTCTATACATGCTTTTAGTGAGATTCGGATCTCCACACTATTGCCTCTCTTCGTAACCTTTTAAGTAAGACAACGAACCACCTACGTAATAAAAATTTAAATAATGAAATAATTTTCTAAGAACATTAATTATTATAATAAAAATTTAAATAATGAAATAATTTTCTAAGAACATTAATTATTATATTTCTGTGGAAACCAAACTAACAGAGTGACAGGCAGGCAACTAAATCCTGAGCCATAGCAAAATAAGTACTACTACATAGACTGCCAAATTTTACTCCCTCATTTCCACTCCACAAACCAAGATTGATTATTTTTATCATGTGGGTTCACAGAAAAGTGTCTATATCAATAACATGTGAGAGGGAGTACAAATTAGGAGTATAAAATGAGAATACACCAAAGTATTTTCCTAGCAAAATAGCATTAAGTAAAGCAATTAAGCAAGCTACATAATATTCATACAACACATCGCAATCTTTTTCATTTTTTTTTTATAGAAGGTTGTTGTCCAACTACAAATCCACCCAAATTGACACAACAATTGGGGGAAAATATTGAAAAATAATTGCTCAGCTTGTAAAAAGAATATACAAGGCACATAAGACAATGAACAGCATCACGCAAACTCAATAACAACCATCTATCAAATAAATCAAATTTTCCTTTCCCTCGGCATGCATTATTCAACAAAGAAGCCTCATCTCAGAAGCTGGGCAGGACCATACAAGCTGCAACCCGAAAGACGAAGAGAACACATAAATTGAGCCACAGATAAGCGAGTAGGCTATGCATTCCTTCCTCTCTCACTTGACAAAACATGATCCTCTTCCACGTTTAAGAATATTTCCAACAGTTACCATGCAAAATAAGGCACCAAAGCGAAGTAATATAATTGCCCAAATAAGATCAATAACAACCAAGAGGCCTCTCCATGGCATCAGTTTATAGATAAGGATGTACAACTTAAAATTTCAAATCCACTCTTAACCTTCACTCCTTCCCCTATTGAAGGGCCTTTGTCGACCTGAGTAGCGGGGCTCTGAACTCCTTTCTGCTGATACTTTTAGTTTGTCTGTGTTCTCCTCTCGCCTGACAGCCTGTTTCCTCATAGACCGTCTTGAGTACACATCTTTTGATTTCCTGGATCGGTCTACTTCATAGGTTAGAGGCTCAAGTCCCTGTAAATCAGGCTCAGGAACAAATCCAACTGGTCGTTTAGATTCATCCATTCTCCTAAATGTAATTGAGATCCTTCATAAAATTGTAAGTAATAAGGTGTTAGCACATTATGGCAAAAGTGACATGATTGAAATTACGACAGGAGATCTCCAATAGTACCTTTTAGTAGGAACAGAAGGAACACAATGTTTAGCCACATCAGCAGAATTTCCATTTATCACAAGAACGGATCTGGAGGAACATTTACTCACAAACTTCAAATTCCTGAAAGATCAAGGAAAAGACTAAAGAGTACAAATTTTAAAAGCACTTACCCCACTGGCAAGGGAATTGCAATAGCACCTGCAAACTCACCAGGACCCACCACGCTCAAGTTTAATCCAAAAACTATATTGCACTCACTAAGGAATGACACGGTACAAAAGGGACGGACAAAATCATGATTGTCAATATGCGGTGGTATACAATCTCCCTCATCATAAATATTCACAATACAGCTGTCAGGAATGCAGTTTGGAGGCATAACATGCCATTTAACAAGCCTTCTAATCATAACCTTAAAAAGCTGAGGTATGGGATCAACGGTATCATCTCTGATGATGCCTGGAGGATTGCCATTTTTATCCTGTCATCAAGCACTTCAACCATCAGGTCATATGTATGTTCAACTTTCTTCTGTTATTAGTCCAAACTCAAAAACATTCCCCAACCACCCCCCCCCCCCCCCCCCAAATAAAAAAATAAAAAAACAGAAGAAAATTACAAAAAATTAAGGGGGAGGGGGGTGAGTATGATAATTTAATTAACCACGCTATTATGGGCCCTCCAAAGGGAAAAAGATTGCAGATGCAGAAAGACTTACGGTTGCATAGTTGTAACAACAACCAAATTGGATAGTCACACGACCTTTGCCCCTCATCCACTTCTGGGGGGCAGTATAAGTACGCCCTGTGATAAACAAAATAGGAACATAAGTAAGCCTGTGTAAAGAATGCACCACAAGACCAATTAATGCCAGAGCATCTTAAAACCAATATAAGCACATGTAAGAAAAGGAAAAACGGTCATTACACACAAGGAATAATCAGAAAATATCATACATCCAAATTAAGAAATTATCTTACTAGCATGGATATCACAAGTGTAGGTTGGTTAAAGACCAACAACTTAGCATTACTAAGTCAAAGGATGGCTAATTTGAGAAGTGGATTAGGTGGAAAGTTTAGTTTCACCAGGAAAAACAGACTGGAGAGTATGGAAAACATAAAGGAAATAGACGTAAAAGACATTGACAGTAGTTTGTTATACGTGTAACAGGGGTTAGCAGGTAATGTAAGACACTAAAGGTAAAAATTCCTACCACATAGTTCAAAAATAGAAAAGAATCTCACAATTATAAGTACTAGAATTAAAAAAGAGGGTGTAATTTGATACGAATTGATTATATAATACATAAGTCCTGTCAAGAAATAACAAAGAAAAAGTATTTGCATGATTTTAATGAATCCACCGCTCAATCAAGAGGAATTGTAGACTCCCAATTAAATTGCTCAAGCAATAAACAAAAGCACTTAGTCATATAAAAAAGTTCCAGCTGCCATATAATTCAAGGAGTCAGTAACAAAAAAATATAGTTCCACACTTCCACGAGTTGATTACCCAAGCCAGTTAATTTATTTGGATCTTTTTGTCTCAGAGAGTACAAGTAATATGACTTAATCTACTTCATAAAATGGATCCACAAGTCCACAACTGTATTTGAGGCCATAGTCCAGATGCTTCCAAGTTGCTTGACAGTACCCACTACCCAGTCTTACTGAAAACGTGTGGATTTTTTAATTTATTTTTGGTAGCCTCACAGCTTTATCGGTGTTATTTCAGCTTAAGACACAATTTCAAGAATTCTCCACAAAATAATTCAAATGGCCTGCTTACTTTACAGCTTATAAGAAGAACAAGCCTCTTAACCAGGTAGCCATGAAGTAAAAAGGACATTTTAGCATTTACAAGACCCACAAACACTAGAACCACAAGATGAAGATGAACTAAATCAAGGTTTAAGCAATATGCAGGAAAGGAGTTTAGACTTAATATGATTCATTCACTCATTCCAACAGTCTAGAACGAAAATTTTGAGTATCTCCTTAAATCTTTTACCATTTCCCATCTAGAATTCTGGAACATAGATTCTTTATTGTTTTCTTGATGACTTGAAAAGAAGGAAAAATAAGCAAGCACCATTTATAGTTTCAGACCGCTGATTATCAAAATAGGAAATAAAATGTATAATTGATGGTTTAAAATGGCGTGTCTGAGGCTCGCCTCAGAGTGAGGCGCTGCAGTTGGGTTCTGAAGCTTACGCCCCTTAGGCTGAATTAGATGCATACGCCTCAACCCTATGGGGCGTATGCCTCATATGCACCTCAATACGTTTCTGAGGCGTATCAAGCTTAGCCTAAATTTTTTTAGATAATTTAGGCCCAAAATATATTTCTATAGCCCAATAGGAGATGACCCAACCCTAATTAGATTAGAATTAGGAGAAAATATTTGACTTGAGACTTTGTGGTGTGTTTGCTTGAGACTTTTAGCTTATGAAACTTTAATCTTGGATTGTGGTGTATTTTATGAATAATGTTTATAGTTTATTAATATATTTTATATAAAAATTGAGGCTTATGCCTCAGTGCGCCTTGAGGCTTACACCTCACCTCAGCATTACAAAACGCCTTGAGGCACACCTCCACCTTTTTAAACTTTATAAAAACAGTTCATCTAGAGCTAAAAGAAACATAGGCAACTAGTAAACCAGTACATGCTTATTCAATAAAAGTATTCTGAGAATCAATTGAAATGAATTAGAATAAAACTAATAAGATTAATGTGGGAAATAAAGAAGTCTAAACTTACAAACCTTTTAGTTGTCCTTTCTTTCCCATCTCTTGAAGTGATTCCACATAATTCACTATCCTAATTTGTTCTGCGGCACTAAAAACACCAGTATGTAGCTCCAAGCCATCAAGTATATTCACAAATTTCCCATTGACCCTCTCCAAACATATAAAATCCTTCTTCCTTTTAACATTACTAAACCGGATGTGCTCCCTTTGCTCCCTTGAAAGCTCAGTCTTTGGCTTAGACATCTTCTCAGCAGTTCCCTCCCCAGCAAAGCCATCTCCATTGCCTAACTGCCTACTTGAACCAGTTGACTCGGTCTCTTCCTCTGCCTCGAGCTCATCCTCCTGAGCCATATCTGCCCATGACATTTTCACTTTCCGGCTATCAACTGACACGGGTGTGCTAAACGTGTCACTTGTTGATGCCTCAACAGAAGTTTGTGGTAGAGCATCTTTCAAACTAGCACTCGGGCCTGATTCCATAGAGACCTCGGCAACAGGCTCTGGAGACCCATCTGCCCCATCCTTCCAACTCCCCAGCGAGTTCGTATCCGCTGTATCATTCAAATCCGCGCCGTCCTTCCAACTTCCAACAGAATGGGCGTCACAGTTAGCTAGATCTCCACTACACCCATTCAGGCACGTACTGTCGTCGTGCTCTTCATCTCGTATGGCTTCTACAATCAAACAAAAGGCTCACTAATCAGAAAAGTGACTTTCAGAAACCCTAACTTCCAACAGAGTGCGTCTACACATAAATGTAACAAGTGCACAAAAATTTACACATGTATTCGAATATTCATCAATACACGTATTATGTGTGGAACTAGCGGGGAAAGAGAAAGAGAGAGTACCGGGATGGATGGATCGGACGCGATCGGAGAGAGAGAGAGTACAGGAGTGACAGAGGTCACGGGAGAGAAAAGGGAGCCAATTGGAGAGGAACTCGGAGGCGATTCGGAGCTCTTCGGGGCTAAATTTGAGCAGGAAGGGGTCATCCTTGAGAGTTCTCTGCTGGTCAGCCATGGCGAACTGAGTCGTCCGGCAGAGCAGATAGGCGAGTCAATGATGAGTGGTTTTGATCGTGAGAACTGAGAATAGAGAAATTCTATTTTAGGTGGTGTATTCAACCATTCACCCATATACGGAGTAGAATTTTATAAACTTCTATCAAATAGACCACTCAGAAATCAAATTGTAATTAGGTTATTGAATTTAAATATATATATATATATATATATATATATATATATATATATATAATTTTTTTGAAAAAAAATACAATTTAATCTTTAAATAGTATAAATTCATTCAATTTAATCTAAAATGACATATTTATTTGAAAGTACGCTGACGTGTTACAAATTTTAAAAATAATTTTAGATAAAATAATTTAAAATAAATAAAATTACAAAAAATAAAAATAAAAAAAAAAAAATTGCCCACTTTTGTCTCTATGGTCGGAGATGAAGGAACCTTCCTCTCTATTGCCGAAGACGAAGATGAGATAAAGGAACCTTCGTCTCCATTGCCGGAGACGAAGATGCAGTTCTTGTTTGTTTTTTTTTTTTTTTTAATATAATTAATTATTTTATTTAAAATTATTATTTTTAAAAAATACTTTTAAAATTGATAACCACCATGTCAGGCATCAACGTACTTTCAAGTAAACATGTCATTTTGAATTAAATTATATGAGTCTTTGTTGTTCATGGATCCAATTATGATTTTTTTTTTTTAAGTTTGATGAATTAATTGTAATTTGGTGTGTAGTTGTGACTTATTTGATCCTTATTCCTAATTTTTAATATATTTGTATAAAATTTCTTAAATTTTTGTAAATGGGTAACTTTTATAAGAATTCATAAAAGTATTGTATCATACAATTTTATAACAAATTAATAAAATTTTATAAAAATTTTAGAAAGTTCTTTAAAGTGGGTGATATTGAATTTACGAATTTTTAATTGGGATTTATTAATTTAGAGTTAATATATAATTTGGTCCATTGACTATTAAGATTTTATTAATTTGGTCATCAATTACTAAAGTTGTTCAATTTAATCACTAATTATGCAATTTTTACTTAAAATGGTCTATCGATTATTATGATTTCACAACTTTGATCATCGACTACCAAAATTGCTCATTTTAGTCCATAATTATACAATTTTTATCTAAAATGATCCCTCGACTATTATGATTTCACTACTTTGGTCCTCAACTCTCCAAAAATGTCCCCAAATCCACACTTAAACTTACATTTTAGGTTAACATTTACATAGTTGGAGACTAAATTGAACAACTTTGATAGTCGACCTGGGAAGTCAACAGCCAAGATGACCCGAATCATGGGTGGGACTTGATCTTGAGGCATGGCCGAATTTTAGGTTTTTGTGGTCCTGTTCTGGTAAATAACTGAGCCCCTCCAAAATCATAATTTTTAAAACTAACATATGCGAATTTCGAACTTTTGACCTCCAAGTTAAAATACAATAAATATACATTGCTACCATCTCTTCATAAAACCCTTTAAGTTTAATTAAAAAAATTTAGTTTTTATTTTGAAACTAGTTAGGTAAATATTAAATATTTGACCTCTAAAATTTGGGGCCAGCTTGTACAGCCTAAAATCCGGCTCTGTCTTGAGACCCGGGGTCTTCGATACTCCATTTCTCCAGGTGGGTTCATCTATTTTCAATATGTTCGTTATCTACTTTCTCTCAACTAATGATGAGTCCTAAAACTTGAAATATTAAATTAAAAGAAGGCATAATCTATAATGTGACAAATAATAATAATAATAAACTATCTTTATTGAGTTAATACCCAAAATCATCCTCAACTATAGTGGTTTTTCTCAATTTCGTCCTAAACGACTTTGGTGACCTAATATCGTCCCAGGCTTTTGTGTTTCGCTCAATTTAGTCCTCCATTTGTTATTCCGTCAAATTGGTGTTAAATTAAGGGACAATTCAGTAATGTCAATATTGATCTCTCTTTACTTTCAACTTGTGAAGTGCGAAATTCCTCTTTCTTGTACGAATTACACCCAGATTTACTCCTGGACCTGCAAATCAAATTTTATATTCGCAGTTTTAGGAGTAATTCTGGAGTAATTCGTAAAACAAAAAGGGATTTCGCAGTTCACATGTCTATGAGTAAAGAGATGCCAATATTAAAATTACTGAATTGTCTATTTATTTAACACCAAATTGACAGAATAACAAATGAGGGACTAAATTGAGCAAAAACACAAAAATCTGGGACTAAATTGAGCGAAACACAAAAGTCTGGGACGATATTAGGTCACCAAAGTCGTTTAGGACGAAATTGAGAAAAACCACTATAATCGAGGACCATTTTGAGTATTAACTCTATCTTTATTACTTCAAAGTATTGGTCTTTAAGAACGGATAATACAAAAGGATAAGAAAGTGAGGCATTGGCAGCCTGAGCAGCTCCTGGCCTCATCCTTCAACTTCACACAAATTAATCCACCACTCAACTCAAACCATGTTCTCCATCACCCACCAATTCACCACAACACTCACAAGCTTCCCGTCTAGATCACACCGGCACGGCACCTCTTTCCGCTCCTTCTCACTATCTCCGATCAAAGCCAGCACCGCCGGCGGCAATGGCGTCAACGACGAGGGAAGCGATCCGTCTCCGCCTGCCCCGCCATCGAGCACGGTGGGGATTCGGTTCCGGAGAGGGTCCAGAAAACGGAGACAGCAGCGTCAGCAGGAGGAGGAGGACAGGAGACAGGGAATGAAAGCAAAACCAGCGCCAAAGGACTGGGATTCGATGAGCCTTAACGAGAAAGCCGTGGAGTTGTACATGGGGGAGAAGGGTGCGCTATTCTGGCTCAACAAATTTGCGTACGCCTCCATCTTCATCGTGATTGGTGGATGGATATTGTTCCGGTTCGTGGGTCCGTCCCTCAATCTTTACCAGCTGGACACGCCTCCCCTGGCGCCACAATCCATGTTCAAGGGTTCAGAATAGAAATGAGGTTTCGAAGAATTGAAGTTTCATAGCTTTATCGTAGTTTCCAGCAATCAAATCTTGTAGCCTTAAATTTGTTGTAGTTTGCTATACACTTAGAAAGAATAATGTTATACATCTGATATTTACATTACATGGCAACTGGCAACTAATCAATACAGTAACTGTGGTGGTATAAACACAAATTGTAGTTTTAGGATGGAGTAATAAGAAACATTTAAGTAGAAGAATCCCAATCAATTTATTTATTTCCTCATTTGCTGGACTATAAGATAGAGTGCTAGGTTAAACCTAGAACACGAAATATCTAAGACCAAAATAGATATGAATTTAACAATTAATTTCAAAATTTTACTCAAATGCCCAAGCATTCTCCCTACGAATTTGTTCTTCTTCCTCAGGTGTTGAAAATTTTGCGGATGGTGACTTGTCCTTGATAATATCTGCAACAGCTTGACTGGTAAGATCTAACATTGGTGATGGGAATAGTAGTATGATAATATCTGCAACAGCTTGACTGGTAAGATCTAACATTGGTGATGGGAATAGTAGTATCGACGCATTCATCATCAATCATGCACTTGATCGTGTGCATCTCAAGAACATCTCTCCGTCAGAACTCCTCAACACAATCATCTTTGGGATGATCTCGTCTGCCCTGCTAAATGCTAAAGAACGTTTAATAAATTAAACGCAATAATACAATACTTTTCAAGGACTGGAGTTCCATTTTATAAGGTTAGAACACCTCGTTGATAAGAAATGGGCAAACTTCAAACTAGGATAGAGTTCTCCAATTTCGGCACTCTTAGAATCCTTATGCATCTCAGACTTGTATGGAATATTAAAACTCTGATCTTATGGAAAATAATAAAAAACAGAAAACGCATAATTTTTCAATTCTTTTGTTTTGTTTTTTTGTTTTTGTTTTTGTTTTTTTGTTTTTGTTTTTAGTTGCCCGTGTCAGCACATGAAGTACGTGATTAGCTGAGCAGACCCATTATATTGAATTTTACGTGATTCGCTGAGCAGACCCATTATATTGAATTTTACATATTAGAGAAAATTTAAACTCCTAACTTATAAACTGGTTAAATGTATTTTTCTAATGTTTTTATTTAATGATAGAACTTTGATGGATAAATGTGTGATCAATCTTCCTTTTTATAGAATATGATCATCTTCTCATTTTAATCCCTCTATATGTGTGTGTGAGAGTTTAAAAGTTTAATCCAAATTTTTATTATTATTTTGAATACTATTGACTCTATTATAAGGTAATATCTCTTATATACTTTCTTTATTTATTGCAGCTTAAATAGTCAATATTTTACAAGGCACAATCCAAACCATAGAGATGTTATTGAGTACAAAGTGCTTGGTTGTTTAATCTAAACTTTTAAAAATTCAAATTACGTTTTTAAAACCTTTTTCAAAACTAAAATAGGACAATATTAATGAATGTTAAAAAAACAAATGATATTTCAACACAGAGAATATGGTTTGGTCCACTATCCCAGTTCGGTTCAGCCCATCCACCCGCCGGCAACAGTTCCACCATCTTTCCTTCCCGCCACCACTAGTGCCACCGCATCTCCGCCATGCACGGCGTCTGCACCTCAGCCGCTTACCTATCTAGGCAATCAATGCTGTCCAGCACTACGACTTCGATCGATGCTCAGGTGTCGAACAACTTCATTGACACCAGTAAGCTGAAAATCTCGGTTCAGAAACTTTCGGCGAATTCCTCTCCCAAGCTTTCTTTTCTCAAACACCACTTCTGTTCTTTGCCTATTTTCTTATCAATTGCTCTTTCATAGCTCCTTCAGTTTATATGCTCGTCTTTCAGAATCCTATATTCTGTGCACCTTGCCCTAGCAATGGTAGTTTGGCTATGAAAATTCTAAGTACATGAATATCTTGAGGAATCATTTTGTAGAAATTAATGAGCTCAATAGTGATCATAGATGTACATTGCTTTCTGTTTACCTTTTTGTTATGTCGACAAATGAGCCCCCCTACCTGTTTCTCTTGAGTTACTATTTTTTGGCTTTTTTTTATTTGTCGGTGTTATAGCTTTGTATGGACTACTTTAATCTAAAATCAAAGATATGTTTTTTGCAAAATATTATAGCCTGTGATCTTTCTGTTTGTGATTGTGCACCTTTTTAAGATCATTACTACTCAAATTTGATTTCCCAACAACTTGTGTTTTATTTTACCCTGGAGAATGCAGGCTCTATTTTTTTTTGGGTGGGGTGGGGTAGGTGCAAATAGAATTAAGTTAAAAACACTTTCTGTCTAGAAAAATGTGGAATTACTCCCATTAGGTAAAAATATGCTAGACATGGGGCAACCCAACCAAGTTGGTTGGATGGTCAAGGAGGAGTTGGTCAATTGACCTTCTTGATTTGAGCTGATTAGTTATGGGCAACCTAGGTTGATTTACCTCCTTGTGGTTCTTTACCGGCTAGGGTTACAAGACAGACTTCACCCAGTGCTCACCTTTGGGTAGCGGCTACGGGCTTTCCCGTAAATCAAATATGCTAGACATGGCGTGTTATAATTCACTATCTCTCAAATTGAGAGACTCATGATTGAACAATTAACTAATTATAATATGTTACATCAAGCAGAATTTTTATTGAGAAAGTAAATGTAATGTTATTCATTTTAATGAGTGGTTTCCACCTCTATGCTTTTGAACCAAATATATATATCTTGTATAATTGTAAACCAAAAGGAAATTGTACAGGTTTGTTACTTAGGCTGGTTTCATATTGATATAAATGATATGTGTTTTTGGACAGCTTATCATTTTGTTTGAAAGCATAACCATTGAAGCTTTAATTTGAAATTTTCTTCATTGGTTGATGTATTTTCCAGTGGTATGTACCAAATCATTTGTCTAATCTCTGGTTGTTATACTTTAGCTGACAGCCTAACTCCCATGGTACTTTTCTAATGAGATGTATGAGTCGAATCATGAATTATTATCTCTAAATAGCAATGTGCTGAAGGTTGTTCTTAGCCTAGCTTTGATGTATCTACCGTTGTTATGTACTAAGTCATTTGTCTAAACCCGTGGTTGTTGCACTTTAGCTGACAGCCAGACTCTTAATAGTATTTTGTACTTGATGCATAATAAGTCTAATCATGAATTATTATGCCTCTAAAAGGCATTGTGAAGAAGGTTATGCTTGGCCATGAAAGAACAATGCAAGATTATGGCTCTGAGTGCTTTTATTATCTAGTTTGCAGGGCTTATGCTGCATCACCAGTTGCTGTTGTCTCTATTAATCCGATCTCACCAGCTATCCTCGTGGCAGATAAAGGTGAGTTCTGCAAATGCATCTATTCTTTTACATTCACCTTTGAGAGAACCTTGTTGCATTTGTCTTGCGTATGTAACTCCACAAGATATTATTACTTGGTTTTGTTGTTTGTGGCATCCTTAAGCACTGTGTTTGATTTTGAATTGTTGTCATGTGGTCCGAGGCACCTACACATAAATGCAATTTCTCACCTAATGTCTTTGATTTGATATCATATCATGTGCGAATAGAACATCAAGACTAGGACTTGAATGATCCAAATTAGCGAATATAGCTGTAGTCTGATTGGTGCAGTGAGACAGAGTCTCTTTACATAGTCTGTATGATACAAAAAGGTCAGGATCAAAAGCGTAGTTAGGGGCATTATGTCCTCGTACTCACCAACTAATCTAATCATCCCATATGTTAAACATTTTTCATTCATAGAACATGGGAGAACCCCCTCCGTTTATCAATTTTTGTTGACCAGTACTTTATCTTCCAGCCTTATCTGTACTTGTGTCTTCATGCATGAATATAACGCATAAGTTGCTTTGATTTTTTTGGAGAAACCAACTCTAAGCAGCCTAACAAATCTGTATTTGAGATATATTGTTGAGGTCTACTGGATACATACACAACTTTCATGTTGCTTTTTGATATTGATGCTTGTTTGTTTTAGGCCTTGGAACATGGGAATGCCCCTCTTTTTGCTAGTCATCAGAGCTGAAGCCACAATTCTTGTGGTGCTTATTTCCATTTAGGATGGGGTGCAACATTTTTTTATTTTTATTTTTGTTTACACATTCCTTTATATCTTTAGCCTCCAGTTATGTTGTCTGCTTGTATGTTTCTTGAAATGGTGTTTGGAATTTGGTGTAGGCAGGACCACATGGCTGTTTCTTATAGGTAAACACCAGCATCTCTTAATGCCAAAAATAATAGCACTTTATGTGAAAAATGTAAATTTTCCTTGTTAAAATAACTCCCTTACCTTTACTTTATGACGAGTCATTTATTTTTTTGAGTACTAATGACTCTGTTTTAATGTAGTATCTATTCATAACTACTTTCTCAACCTATTGAAATACAAAGAGTCAATACTTTCTGACAGGTCATTTATATGTTTTGAAAATGGAAAAGTTTATGGTGGATGGTTTGGCCCACGAGATTTCTAAAGGCAAATTATTGTGTGGACCATAACAAAAGTATATTTTCAATATACTAAAAGTGCATTATTCGTGTATTGAATTAATATTAACAAAATAATGTACTTTTAGTACTCAAATAATGTATTTTTTTGGAATGTAATGTACATTTTTAATATACTAAAATTACTACATTATTTGTATACTGAATGTATATTATTTGATAGTATGACCCACAAAGCTGTGTGGACCAATACTAATTGATGTCTAAAAGTGATTTTAGTAGGAGAATGTAACACTAGTCATGAGATATACCGACTGATCTTAAAATCTTAATATGCATTGATAAGTAAAATGCAATGGACAAGGGGGCTGTTATGAATCTTAATTATCTACTTTGGGAGTGCCTGGTATGTTGTGTCCTGAGTTTATTTGCATGTAATTATAACCCTCTTGGTAGCCAAAAATGGACAAAAATTCTTTAGTTCAAAACAGATTATCCAAAAAACCATCCAGCCTGTTCTTGTCCCACACATTTGAATTTATAGATAATGTAGATGAGGTAAATATTTTGAAATTGAGAAAGAAAATAGATAATAAAAAAGCTATGAAACCAAAAATACAAAAACTTGCATTTAATCATCTCAAAAATAAGAATTTGAAAATTTTATAAAATATGTTAGGGTAAAACACATTTTGAGCTCCTCAATTAGTAGAAAATAGATAACATCTTTACTTGTTTCACATGATTGTCAAATTCACCCCCTAAGTTGTTAAATTGATAATTCGACACTTAAAATCTATTAATACAAAACCATACCAAGGGATTAATATGAAGGCCAAAAAAGTTCATCTTCAACTTCATCCACAAACTTCTCAAGGCAAAGATTTCTGTTGATTATCCCACATTTTGATTACAGATTTAGGAGAGCAAAAACTTAATTTAAAGAAATATGTGTGCAGACTGCTGAAAGGAATCATAGATTACATTAAATTGGAGTACAAAACCTAAATTTTCAGTTTTATCCTTCATTTTAACACCAACTTAACGCCAAAGCTAACGGAGGACCATTTTGGCTTAAAATTCAAAAGTCGGAAGACCACTTTTGAAAAATTAAAAGTCAAGAGACCAATTTGAAAAAAGGCCATAGTCGGAGGACCATTTTGAGAATTAACTCTAGTTTATAATTATCTAAGTCTTAATTTTTTTTAAAAAAAAAAATTAAAAAGTAAAAAATAGAATAAAAAATACACAGGCACCTAGGTATCATTAATCGCTAGCTAAGTGTCCTAGGCGCCCCGAGCGTCCGAGGAGCGTCTAGCGATTTTCTCAAGTGAGAGATAAATGAGATGACAATGTGGTGGAGATTTTGTAGTTTAGTTGGGGAAGTGTTGTTGTTAAGTGTTAAGTGGTCCATGCACATGCCGGTTTGGGGAGAGGTGAGCAAGTAGGGCAAAGTCCAATGGGGCAAAACGCCCTGAAGCAAAGCACATGCCTCTGTTCTCTCATAATCTCCCACCCCCCACCACCTTAAATACCTCTTCTCACTTCTCTCGCCCCCTCACTTCCCTCCAACCACAACCATCACACAATCAATCCATCCCCTCTTTTCATCATTCCACTCTCACCACACTTTCTCCCATCCAAGACAACAACAAGAAAATGGCAGTCAAGAAAACATCATCATCTACACAGACTTTAGCCCTGAAGGAAATCCTCAAAAGATGCTCCAGCTTCGGCAGGAAACAACAGCACGGCGGCGGCGGCTACGATGATGTCCCAAAAGGCCACTTCGTCGTCTACGTGGGACAACACCGCAGCAGATACATTATCCCCATTTCTTGGCTCTCCCACCATCAATTCCAGACCTTGCTTCACCAAGCCGAAGAAGAGTTCGGCTTTAACCATGACAGTGGCCTCACCATTCCTTGCGACGAACACCATTTCTGCTCTCTAATTTCCATGCTCAGATGAATATAATATATCTATCTTGCTTTTACCTTTTCTTCCTCCTCCTCTGCCGTTGAAACCCCAACCAAGTTCGTTGGACTGTCTGTCTTGGTAACCACAGAGTTACAAGTTCGACTTTCAGTAGGAGTGGCCTATGTCCTTCATGAGGAGGAGAGGTTTTTCGCCACTCAAAAAAAAAAAAAAAAAAAACTACTGACAAGAATCATATGATGTTTGATCTAACACTTTAATTTTCTGGGCTTGCAAATGTATGTATGTATATGTTGGTGTGCATGGATGGCTTAGCTTGCTTGCACCCTTCACAAGAATATGAAAAATAACCAGTTTTGTCCACACTCTCAGCTCTTTATTATCTCCCCCTCCATTATATATACCATTCTTCAAAATCATCAAGTCGCAATATTAATTACATACAAGACAAATTTGATTCAATTTATTTCTGATGTTGCAGAACCACACAACATCATACCATTATTATTAAAAAAAAAAAAAAGAAAAAAAAAAAACTGGACCATATATATACCATCAAATTTAATGTGCACTTTCACAATTATATATATCAATAAATTTTAACTAATAATGTAAATTTCTCATACACATTAAAATCAGAAGAGTTTGAGTTCAAATGTAATTCTTAGGTCTTGTGAGTTAGGTTGTTTAACCTTTGGACTTGTAAAAATTTATTAGCATTTTCCAACTTTTTGTAGACAGATTGAAAGACAAATTTTGATTTGTACTCCCTATATGATTATAGTCAATAAAGTATTTTTTTTTCTAGAATCAATTAAAGTTTTCAAAGTCATACCTACCCAAAGATATTTGTATTGAATGATGTGACTTTGAAGTGCTAATAATCTTCTTATTGAAGTGCTAATAATCTTCTTATTCATTATGAAGGAGTAATAATCACAAGAATTAATTTTGATTTTGATTTTGCAAATATTGCATTTTTATTTTATTTTGTTTTACTTTTAGCCCTTGAATTTAAATTCACCAAATATAGTCTCCAACAATTAAAAATGTATCTCTTTTAGTGTAAAAACTAAAAATGACATATTATATAAATTTTTCGATATAAATATTATATTTTTATCTTGATCTGACCTCTCTGAGAATTCCTCTATATATGTAATAATACAAAATTTGATTTTGTTGAAAATAGTTTGATAAAAACAATGCTATAGTGGTAGGTTTGGTCTTTCAATTCATACCAAAAATTGATGACAACTGATCTGACATGGAATTAATACCATTAATTCAACAATCTTTTTCTATGAATTAAATTGCATGTGTCATAAAATTCAAACACTTGGACTGTTTCCACACCTCAATTTCTCATGCACCTTTTCCCAAAGATGGTGAAAACACCATATTCCTATTCTATTTATGTTGCTGACCAAACCAATGCCAAATTTTCAAATGTACTCCCTACAATAAAATCAATGTGATATATTCTATGTTTTTTTTTTTTCCAATTAAAATGGTATTTTTTTACTTATAATTTAAAATTGTATTTTATTTTTCATTTTTAGTGCTCAACTCTATAAATGTTTCATTTCTAATTTAAAATGTCCAAAATATCATCATATGCATTAAGATAAGTTTTGGAGGAATTCTTATAAAGTGAGGATATTTCAAAAGTTTTAAATTAAAAGTATAATGTTTTTAAAATCAAAAGATTAAAAGTAAATTATAAGGCAGATATTAAAATTGGAAGAAAAAAAAATTACAGTGGAATATTATAAGTGAAAATGTCATTATAGTTTTATAATATATTCTTATAAAATAGACATAAAAATATATTCTTATATTATATACACAATATATATTTCCAAACAAACAAGCTTTGATTCCAAAAGAGGAATAAAATCTTTACTCCGACAAGACTTAGCTCAGCTAAGTGGGATGGCATTCTGATTCTAAGAAGATCACATACATAAATGGTTTAGGTGAGATCACAAATATTTGAAAGATTACTAACACAATTTTATATACATATCACCATAAACTCTTTTATCTATTCTCATTACAAATTTAAAAGCAAATTAATAATTAACAAAAAAAAACATTTGATAAAAGACAGAGATGCATTATTGTAATGTGTTTTTAGCTAGACCAGATTCTATTCATTTATTAGGAATTTTGGGTTAGAAATAGAGGTCCCATATGCCTTTGTACCCACTGCCAAGTAGCAATACATGCTAGAAGACCTCCATCGATATGACTTACTTCAATCTCTAAAAGTATCATTGTTAGCTAGGGCTTAAACTTTGATGGAGATAATAGAAATTTTTTACCGTAATATAATTATGTAGATATGTGTAATTATATCTGTTTACACTTGTGTTTATATAGTACAACCAAGCATGTCTGCATGGTTGTACTCGATATAACTCAACATTGATATCAATTAACACTTTAAAATTAAAATGTATCATAAATTATATTAATGTTAGCTAGGACTTAGCTTGATGGACTTAGTTTGGAGAAAATGAATCAGGTTATCCCTCCAATACAATTTTTTTTTTTTTTTTAAAGACTAAGAGTTTGGTGAGAACGATATCTTTGGGCTAATCCAACTATTTCAATCGTACAGCCACCGCTCTAATCACTTTTCAATTCCCAAATAGAACCTTGGTTTCTCAAGTATAGTGTGAATTTTAAGTTGAGTCCATATATTTTGGTCAAGACACATTTAATTCTTTGTATGAAAAATTAGTTCTCTTAAGCCATAGATTGTTGGTGGTGGCCTATTGATGTAATATGATGTGATAACATGCATGCATGTTGAAGATTTTAGATTGTTGTGTGCATAACTTTCTCAAACACAATCAACTCTCCAAGGACAATGCACAAGCTAGCTAGGTGCTTCTATCCAAAGGGTATCAAATAACAATCAAACTTATTGTATGACTATGAAGCTAATGATTATTTCTCTTTAGATCTCAAGAAAATTGTACAAATTAAATCCAAAAGCTTCCCTGAATTCAGTGATGAAATCAAATGGAGTATGATATATATCTTATAGTGTTGTAATATGAGTTGTTTTTTTTTTTTTGGATGGAACTTAGGCTATCCACCATTGCACACAGTGACTAATCCTTATTAAATTGGAGATTTAAAACTGTTCCATTTCCAAAATCAAGAATCGATCCCTTTCACTCAATCACACTTCGGGTTTAACATGGGTTGATAAATTGAGCAAATGAGGGAAGGACACACAATTCTTCAGTGCACATGCAAGTAGGGACCCATCAGGATATTCCTAAATCAGCTCCATGATTTAGATTTCCCCACAGCTCAGAGAAATACATAAAGAGTTGATTTTCTGACTTCTTTTTTTATGGGCAGCACAACAAATAAATTATAATTTAAAATAAGGTTAAAATGGGTGCAAACATCACATGTGAACAGTGTGATTAACCAAAAGTGCCACTAATCACTCACATCATCAATGGATTAAAAAGCAAGATTTTATTCTAATCTAACAGCCTAGCATAGGGGTTGCGGCAAATTATGGTGTGCACACCTTGTAAGGTGGACACGATTTCAAAACTGTTCGTAATTGTGAATATAGAGTTCAAAAATTATGAATACAGAGTTCTGTAATTGTGAATATAGAGATCAATAATTGTAAATATGAAGTTCAAAAATTATGAATATAGAGTTTTATAATTATGAACATAGAGTTCAGTAATTATGAACATAGAATTCTGTAATTGTGAATATAGAATTCAATAATTGTGAATATGAAGTTCAAAAATTATGAACATAGAGTTTTATAATTATGAATATAGAGTTCAGTAATTATGAACATAGAACCGTGTCCACCTTGCAAGGTGGACACGGTTCCACAACATAACAATTGAGGGGTTGCCTACACGGGCTTAGCTCAATAATTTAGTAGGCAGTATTTGAGAGAAGAGATCAATGGTCAAATTCCGGTGGCGGCACTGTGAGAATTATGCCTAAAGTGGAAAGATTCCTTGTGTGGTGCTTTTATGTATACCTAATGGTGTGTTCTTTGGTGATGCGTATCTAATAGTGCATATTTGTGTTGTGTATTTCCTAACATTGTTAGTGCATATTTGCATAATTATTGGTGTGGCCTTACATTAAGGGATTAAAAATTAAACTTCAAATATTGATGTGATTTAACTAGAAAATTTTGGACACTGAATGGAGAAAGCATAAACAAGTTGTACGTGAGAGAAAGGCATTGAAGCAATGATAGGTATTGGTACGTACTTGCGTATGGCTGAACCCTTCCTGCTTGAATGCAATCACTGTTTCTGTTATCAATCTTTTTCTGCTTCAATTCAAACATTAGGCAATGGACAGAATGGCTTAATTATCTTTCATCTGCTCGACTAATCATGTTTGACAGCAGATCAACGTGAGTTATGTATGATAAACGATGAACATGCCCAACAGGTGTTTGATAAAAGTTCAATGAGAGGTAAGCAGTTCGGTGACTCTAAACATTTCTGGATCTTGGTATGCAATTCAATTAGGTTATCGTCGTCGCCAAACTCGAGAACATGGTTATGTTTCTCTCTCATCATGCAAGCGCTGCCTTCGCCCTGGCTAGCTCAGAATTGCTCCTTAGATATTCAACACTGAAATATACGATGCACCATAATTGTAACCTCGAAACACTCGAAACAACCCGTAGACAGGCCAACTCTGACATTCTCCCATACTCCAAACATCATCGTCCTTGTTGATTATAGGAAACACCTAACACAACTCAAAGAACAGTGATTGATTCCTGTATTTTTTTCTCTTTTTCTTCTTTGGATACACTATGGAATGAAGATATTGAAATTTAGGGGTAACTCCAATCAAGATGGCAAGACATCCACACTTGTAACCTAACATAGTAGCTTAAGTAGCAAATGAGCTCTGTGTGGAGAAGAATTTCGAAATAACCCGAGTGATGGATTTAATTAACCCGGGTAGCCCAAATCACTAAACCCGATTAAGAACGTAAATAGGAAATGGATAGGTAATACGATGTCGTAAGGTCGGACCGTATATTGTATTAGATAACGATAAATAGGCTATTACAACGATGCTTTTAGGACAAAGTAGATAAGATAGAGTGAACATGTCTTAATGAGACAAGATGGAGGTTTTTATACAAGCCAAACCCCCAACCGCCCCACCTAAATCGAGGGATGGTTGCATCTCTGTGCTGACTGCATCCAGGTGTGGACCGGGTCCGCGGGTCAACACGACCGAGGTGTCTTGGGCCGAGCACGGGGCTCAACCTCGGGGCCCCGGGCCCACTCCATACTTCCTTGCTCCGTTTTCTCGGGTCGGTTTGCTCTGGTCATAATATATCCATCACCGAGTTTGATTCTCACAAGTGACAATTCCCCCTAGGCCAGCTCCTGTGCCTCTCGGAGCGAGCGGGGATTAGTCAGGTGGACCCAGACCGTAAGACGAACAGAGAAAGACCCGGAACATCTCGTGGTTTACACCAAAAAAAAAAAAGTCACAAGTTCGAATCCTTACGCCCTAGTTTGAGCCATCTATGGGTAACCTAAGCTGGTTTACTTCATTGTGATCCTTTGCCGGTTAGGGTCACAATGCAGGGTTTACCTACACCCGAAAGGGTTGTGGGGTTTCTCTCCTCATCCCAAAAAAAAAAAAAAAAAAAAAGATAGTGAAATTTAGACTTATGAAATTGAAACAACTATTTGATGTATTTCACTCTATATAAGTATGTATTAGATGTATATATTAAAAGAGACTTTTGCTTCAAAAATTCTGTAATGTGCCCATAAAAGTTGCCAAAAGAAAGGTGTTCAAGAACAAGGCACTCACTGAACCGAACTGCAGTAACAAGATGGTAAGTATAATATGTAAGGAAAAAAAAAAATGAAATGGTAAAGACATTAAAAGAACAGTAGAAACTGGGTAACCCCACAATTCTAAAAGGACTCGAGGTGTTTGTCGGTAGAACACAAGTTGTACTTCCAACAGCCTTCTAATAGGAAACCAAGCATATGTAAATTCTCAAGCAAGGTTTAGAGATTTGATTCATGAAATCAAAAGCAGAGTAAACCATGACTTGCCTGGGGTATTCACCTCCTTACAGGTGGCACAACACCCCTGCCAGGTGCAGCTCCTCGACCTGCAGCCTGCGCCTGCCAACAAGAAATTAGACAGCGACCCGCATTTTGTCAATGAATGATGGTTGGTGTTACTCTACAATAATACCATATCTGTCTATATTTGAAAGAACACTATTCCTCTTTCCAGTTTCACCCTACCAAACAGTTTTTCACTATACTCAAAACTCCCAACAGCCAAGCAAGATCTAAATTCTAAAGAGCCGTACCTTACACGTAAGTTTTCAAATTACAAGAGACAGTAATCAGTAATGTGGCATGCCAAGGGTTTACTCTTATATTTAAACCAAATAGAATATAGTCATCAACATTGGAGAATAAAAGAAATAAAACTCACTTTGGCTCGCATGGCAATGGCACGTCCTCGTCCAACTCCGAGTGATGTACCTTTGCCCTAAAATAAATAACTTCAAACATTAGGAAACCAGAAAATAAAATGAGAAATAAACACAGAGCCCACCAAGGAAAGTACCTTGATTTTAGCGTCTAGACGCTTGAACATAGGAGCATTCTTAAGCATATCAGGAATTATCATGAATCTGAAAATTCACACAAGTTAACATATGATATGCTCAAGTCAGAGAAAAAAAATCCTAGAAATTACAACTTGTTATATACCTGACTTTGCTTCCTCGAATAAAAACATGTTCAAGTTGTGAAACGCTTCCATCCTGAGCAAAATTACCAACAGTTTAATAGAGCATATACACAATAGTTAGGAATTCCTGTAGTATTTAGCTTTATCTGATACACTTGATTTTAGCTAAAAGTTCCTTTTTTCTGATCATATGAAGGGAGTGGGGATTCAACCTCTTCTAAGACACCTAAATATTACTTTAATATTTAGCACTACAACTTATATATTTTAGAAATGCCAATGGAAGAGGCATGTTTCTAGGGTATGACTATGGCATCTTATCAGCAGTCTTCCTATTATTATCTTAAAAACTTACAAGCATGTATGATGCTGATAGGGTAAAGAGGCAGACAGAGAGATTTGAATAGAAACAGGAAATAGGTGGATTGCAAAGTAGGAAAGAAAATACAAGAGATACAGAACCGTACTCTCCAGCAAGAATGGCTCTTAAGTCTTACCCCTCACCTTATTGCTTATTATTTCTAACAATCGCTGCATATTTCCCTTCTAAGAGAATGTGTTATTTATAGTCTATAAAATATAAATAGGCGAGATTCAATCAAAGATAATCAATCAATTTGTAATTCCTTGATTTCAGCTCCCCAATATCATGGAATTTGGATCCCTTGATCATATTCCCTATCAGATGCTAAAGTTAGTTCCAGCCATTCATGATGACATCTGAAAATGCCCCTAAACGAATAAGATTTAATTAATGCTATTGTAAAGCAACTGGTTGACAAGTTTTACAACTCCTTGACCCACAACTGTTGATTCCTAAGCATTTCAATGAATGATTTTGGGCTTGGTATGGTTGCTAACTCTTCATCCAATGGCCCATCAGGTCATGGGTTTACACAATGGAGACATCTTCTGAAAAACAGAGGTAAAGTTGTGGAGATCTTCAGACATTAAATAAATGAAAACAGATCATATCCCTTAAACAATTAGCAATAATTGGTACACTGGAAAAGGAGTTTACAACCTCTAGAAGAGGAAAAATTACTTTTTGCATTCATGATAATAATCCTAAACTAATTCAGAAGAAGAGGACAGAGCATACAGTGCATCACGATTCCCAAGCTTAATGTGGGATATGTTGGAAAATACAGAAGAACCACAAGAATATCAACATTTACAGTATCAACCACTTGAACACAACAAAAACAGTAAATCAAAGCCTCTATAACTAATGTCACAACAAAATACTCTCTCTGTCCTATTTTGTGTCTGATTCGATCAACTAGACTTAACTCAAACTATATACAAATCAAATTTTTCACAACATTTAGTTTAGCGTTAGTATATAAAAATATATTTAGAGACTGCATTAAAAGTACTATTAAACACAAAATTGAATTTAAAAATTATAAGAAAACATTAAAGAAAATAAGTGAACAAGAAGAGTTTGTTTAACCAATAAATAGTAAATATGATAGGTAAAATAGAACACAGGGAGTATCTAACTAGTCTTAAAGTGGTCATAAATTTGAATAGTGGAAGTTTCACCCAACACAAGAGGTTATTCAATCACTACTGGTTAGCATGACTTGCTGAGGAAAACAATCTCAAGGAAGGAGACGCTTGTGTGCTTGATCATATGTTTACTGATCTTGATAAATTCCTTTAGAGATTAGAATGGTTTCAATATGTGTTAGTATTCAATCAATCCTTGTGAACACTGGTACTTTTTCAGCAAAAACAATGCCACACCCAGGAATGAAAATTTGTTGGCAAATAAAAAGAAACCATAGGATTTCTGCCAAAGTGCCAATGAAAATGGTGTAAGGTTTGAAGTATTTCAAAGATGAAAATAGCACTCAAATGGTGGGTTTTTGGCCAAGTTCTATTCCAACCCCTACTATCCAAACCTTATGATCCGAATTGCAAAAGACAACCATTGTTTTTTCACTAGGAAGGGGACCGACCAGAGCATGTTGTCTGTATGGGTATGCTCTGCAAATAAATCACAAGATAATTTATCACCCAAAGAGACCACATGCCCTAGTATACTTCCTAGTGAAAAAATAATGGTTGTCCTCAGCAATTCAAACCATAAGATTTGAATAGTAGGAGTTATACCCAACACAAGAGGTCATTCAGTCATTACTAGTTGGCATAAATTGGTCAAGGAAAACAATCTCAATGAGATGTTTGTGTTTGATCACGTGTCTACTGATCTTGATAAATCCCTTCAAAGATTGGAATGATTTCAAATTGTATTAGAATTCATCAATCCTGGAGAACATTGGTATTTCTTTACCAACAACGATTAAGCACCTGGGAGTGGAAATCTTTTGGCACATGAATGACCATAGAATTTCTGCCACTGAAAATGGTGAAGCTTCAAACTCTTACAACGGTGAAAATAGCAATCCATTGGTGAACTCCTTGGCTAAGTTTCATTATTCTTCCTTAGCAAGGCATCACTACTGTCTACTGGGCTAAGTTTCATTATTGCTCTGTCTCTGGTTTTCCTTCTCCATTATTGGGTTTGCCTTCATTGTCCACTATACCATTCTAGGATGTCTGGCTTTCACCCAGCATACCTGGGTTCGATTCCCAGCAATGGAACCAATGTTATGTGTTCTTTGTCAAGACAAGAAAACACAAAAGAAAAGAACCCCAAAAAAAAAAAAAAAAAAAACCCCAATTTTTATTTTTTGAAATTTAACCCCAATGATGTGAGTAGAGACTTCAATTAGGCACATCCTTTGCCATCTCCAAGTGTTTCTATTGCAATTTAACCCCAAAAGTTTATAAGGAGAAGGATATACCCCTGCATTATTATTATGGCTTTTATTAGATTACTATTACCTAAAGAGGGAAACTAATATTAAGGGTCAAAAGCACCACTTTAGGAATAACTGAGGGATTAAAATTGGGCATGCCTACAACTAAGGGATTGAGTCTATATCTTAGGTATAACTCAAGAACCAAAAGTGCTATTTTCCCTTAGTAATATGCGAAGAATGCAGTTCTTAGTAGTTCACTTCATACATTTACTAGTACATAAGGTACATTTGGTTCACGAAATAAGTCGAAAATGGGATAGCATTCTCGGGAGTTAGCTTATTCCATTATTTGGTAATCATTTTATTCCCGTGAATGAGCTATTAAGGGGAATAGCTCTTTCAAGGGGGAATTGGTATTAGACTATTCCTGAGTTCTCGGGAAGGGTATTTTGCTAATGCCTAATTTGTCATTAACTATTTTTGTTATGTATTACAAATGTCTTCTATAACAACAACAACAACAACAACAACAACAACAACAATAATAATAATAATAATAATAATAATAATATTATTATTATTATTATTACACACACATTTATTTATTTTTATATGTGGCCTATTTTTGTTATGTATCATAAATATATGCTACAAATCCTACAACACAAATGTGTATTTCTTGAAATGTATTCATTGTTTGTCTTTTGAATATTTATTTCATTTATATTCCTTAAATTAAGGAAAGACGGAAGTTGGGGTGTAAATGAGCCGAGCGGCTTGCGAACCGCTCGGTCAACTTCGAGCCGAGCCGAACTCGAGCTGACTCATTTAGTAACCGAGCCGAGCTCGAGCTCAGATATTTTAGGCTCCGAGCTGAGCTAGAGCTCGAGCCCACCTATTATTTATTGAGCTCGAGCTCGGTTCGGCTCGTTTGCAAGCCTAGACGAGAGTACAATTCTTGGAGTCTATTCCTTTCACGAACCAAACAATTAATAGAATTCCTATTCTATTCTTTGCCTATTTCATTTCCTATTGAATAGAATTTCTCTTCCTCCAAAATTCATTATGTAAACCAAATATGTTCTTAAAGAATATATATATAACTTACCTGGCTACTTAGATCTTTTCAATACGCTAAAAGATGAGTTTTTTTTTTTTTTTTTGCAACTAAAATATTTTATTCATCAAGTAAACAAATGTCTTTCAGAAGGCATTATTGGAGCTCTAACCTATAGGAGAAAAGATGTTCAAGAAATTCTACAATTCAACATGAAGACAAATTGCATATTGACGGCAGAGTCATGCCTTGAGTGCGGCTTTCACAAATTTATTTCCGTCACATATAATTTGTAAACTTTGAATAAAGGATCTTAAATTGATTTAGACATGGTGCGTGTTTGGCCAATGAGTTTATCTACTTCAAAAAGCATAAGCTGCTTCAAACACTAAAATGAGTCTTTCATAACTAGAAATGAGGCAAAAGCCTCTTCTTTGTTTAGCAAGGATTTAAAACCCTAAACATTAAAATTATTCACATGATCAATGGAGAGCTTAGCTCTATACTTGAAATCTTTAGCAATTAAAATCTTCAAAAAACTACAAAAGTTGAGTCTACACTAGAAGATCAGTTCCTTAACCACCATTACTATTAAGTAACTACTCTAATATATTCACATCATTGATACAAAATTTGGGTTCTGTTTGACTGAAGCACTAAGTTATGCAGTCCACATTTTGTTCTAATTTATAATAATAATAATGTTTGCAAATGAACCAATTAAATTTCAAATTTTGCACTCCCTGATATTTTAATCATATTCTCGGTCCTAGTATCGAAGATTTAGAGCTAGGGTTTAAGAAGCAGCGTAAAAGCATTGATAGAAAAGCAGGAAAGAAAAATGCGTACTTTGGCAGTGTAAGTGATGCTCTCCAGTTGGCAGTTCCAGTTGTCCTCGCACTCCACCATGCTTCCTCTGTAGAGCTCGCCGCTCTTCATCTCCACGGTGACGACGTGCCCCGTCGACTCGTGTAGAAGCTTCACCGGGATTCCCAAGCTACGACTCATCGTCGCAAGAAACTCCGGCGTGGGTCAGATTTGGATATATAAACAATATGCTCCGCTTGTGTTAGTCCCACAACGTCTCACGAACAGTGACCCGTGTACTCCGTATGAACAGATTTTGCGGCTCCTAAGCTCTTATTACACTTTTTTTTTTTGAACAAAACCTCTTATTAATCTAACTAGTATTTTGTACGCGCAATGCGCGAAAATTTATGCCCAATATTAAAATATTTGTAAATAACAAAATTTAAAAAATCAATTAAAATTATGTTTTGCAATTTCTTAAAGTGATGATACTTTTGAATTATCATATATTTGAATAATATAGTGATCAAAATAAAAAAAATAATAAATTATATTTTTATATAATAATAATTTACAAATAATACTAAGCTAACACTCACATATATGATATATTGATATGGATACAAATAACATATATATATATAATTTAGCATTCATATAAATATTTAATTAAAATATAATTTATAATTAAATTAATTGTTATATGATAATTTTAATAAAATGATAATTAAAAATAGAAAAAAGATATGATAGATGTAGGTGTATGGTAAAATTGGTAGATATATTAAAAACTAACGATGTTATAACGGTGTAAGGGTGATTTTGTCCAATGCAAATGAATGTACAACAATTAAAGCAAAATGTATATATTTATTAGCATATAGAAAAAGAACAAAAATCAAGGACATAACTTGTATTGACACTTATTAATGTTTTTAGATTAGATTAGATTACTCTTTGTTTTCAAAAAAAAAAAGTCTTATTACTCTATAATACTTGTTGTGTAAATGTTTTTTTTTTTCTTTAATCGTGTACTCACTTATAATGTGAGTGTAAATGTTTTTTTTTCCTATTACAATAAAAAAAAAATTTGAGTATTATGAAAATTGAACTCATGACATTCCATTTGGAAAAGTCACTTCATGCCACTAGGATTGTTATGCCATGGATTCGAGTCCAAAACAGCGTTATTTTGCTTCAAAATGATGCTGTCTAATTTTTTTTTAAAAAAATTGCTTCTTTCCTTGCCGTTTGTGTTCATAATTCGTTCCTCTATATTCATAATTTTTGGACTCTACGTTCACAATTTTATAACTCTATATTCACAATTTTAGATCTCAATATACAAAATTACAAAACTCAATATTCACAATTGCAGAACTCTATATTCACAATTTTTTAACTTTATATTTACAATTTTTTAACTCTATATTCACAATTACAGGACTCTATTGTTGATTTTAGGACTTTTGGGATCCACGAACGTCCAATACAATCTGTTAGATTGGTGAATTTACCGGTAAATAAAATAGAGAAATAAGCGATTTGTATAAAATATAAATAATGAAAGATCAGTGTGTATATTTTGTATGTATGGCTATTTTTGATACATAAAAGAGATGTGGGGCCTTATTTGTGATAAAATGGAGTCTTCTTCAAGAATAGTGCTTCGCGTGATGATGGAAGAGTACTAGAGTGGAAGAGGGGTTGTGGAGAAGAGTCATGAGGAAGGGTCCTCATATGTGAAGAAGAGTGGTAGAGTCATTCCCCTTCAGAGAGAATAGTATGTGGGGAGATGAATATGGTGTTATTACCTTATTATTGATATTTGTACCACCATTTGATCAAAAGTGAGTATAAAGTATCTTGAAATTGATAAAAGGTAAAAACTTTTTATAAAATTACATTGGTGGTGTAAATAGCCAAATAAATGTACATTTTGCTATTTGAACCACCTTGATCAAACTTGTAATTAATAATTTTTTAATTAAAACATTAAAAAAAAATGAACCCCTCGCCTTCTCCGGTGAGAAGGCAGTCCCCCCGCCTTCACACCGGAGAAGGTGACGGGTTATTTTGTTTTGTTTTGTTTGTTTTCTTTTTTTGCTTTTTTTTTTTTAATAATTAACATTTTGATTGTTTAAAAAAAAGGATAATAAATATTAATCTTTGACCACATTTAATGATGATGGTGCAAATAGTACTTTTTTATTTGCACCACATATAAAATTATTAGACTTATTAAATAAGTGGTACAAATAGTAAAATAGGTGGTGTGAATAGAATTTCTTGATGAATTATGTCCCTTCTCTTTTTCTTTAGTCTTCTTTTATAGTAGTAGGATGAGTAGTGTAGGCTTTATTACCATTAGTGGGTTTTATGATGGGGGTTAATGGACATTTAATGAGTTTTAATAAGATTTATGGGTATACAATTAGGGGCAAATTATATCATGTACCGCGGTGCATAATCGATTATGCACCACGCATCAAAACGACGTCGTTTTGTTTAATAAAAAAAAGGGCATCCGTTTCCCGTCGTTCCGCACCCTTCCACGAAAAGTAACTCTGTTATTTAGTTTCATTTTGTTTACACCGCAGTTTTGGTTCAACACAACTACAGTTTCATTTCGATATAACGACAGTTTTATTCGATATTTATAGACTCAAATATGTGAAAATGTTATTTAATTTTATTTTATATACACTATAGTTTTATTAAAACACAACTACATGATCATTTTGATATAGTTACAGCTTCATTGTACAATATACACTCAAATATGCGAAATGTTATTCAGTTTCATTTTATATACACATCAGTTTCATTTCACCACAGCTACAATATCATTTTGATATAACTGCAGTTTCATTTGATAATATAAAAATAATACGTGAAGCAGTGTCGGTTTAGATATATTGTAATGTCAATTGATAATTAATATACAAAAAAATGCGTGCTCCGTTAAAACTAACGGCGCGTCGTTTCTTTACTTAAAGAAACGGTGCCGTTTTGACCGCGGTGCACATGCACCGCGGTCCACGATATAACGACTGATAATTAGGGGGGTTAGGATATTAAGTTGGGTAATTTAGTGGGGTAATAAGTTGGAGGTTAGGATGATGTCGATTAATAGGCAATAATATTGAGGGTTAAGGGGTAGTTAATAGGCTTTATGGTTGATAAGGAAAAATAATGGCTAGTCAACGGAGAATTTATTAGGGTAATTAATGGGTACTTGTTTTGAGGGTTACGGGGTGGTTTAGGCGGTCCAATCGGGGCTAGGCGATCCAATTGGGTTCAAATATCGGGTACCTATATTCACAATTTAATAACTCTATATTCACAATTAAATAACTCTATATTCACAATTACAGAACTCTATACTCAATAGTATAACACAATTTTGAATCTATATTCACTATTTTTGAACTATATATTCACAATTTTTGAACTATATATTCACAATTCTTGAACTCTATATTCACCAAAAAAAAAAAAAAAAAAAAAAAAAAAGGCTAAGGAAAGGCACCACTAACGGTATCGTTATTCCAAATGCGCGTTTTGGACCTTGGTCCATATTGCAAGGTGGACCCGGATTCACAACATAATTTGTCATGCCACTAGACCACAATGTCATTGACACAAAATAAAAACGTTATTCTTAAGATTCGAGAATAGCTATGGGCCGAAAAAATTGTTATTCCCCCTACACAGGGAATAACTCGTTCATTCCTATGAATGTTAATCATGTGAATAAAATATCAAAAATAAGTAATGAAATATGCTTATTCCAAGGATTGTTATTTCATTTTTGACACATTTTTTAAAAAAATACTTATAATTCTTTACAAGAGTAAATACCACCTATGGTCCTTCGAGTTTGGTGGCATCGCCATCAATGGTCCCTAACTTCCGTAATTACCATCCGTCATCATCCGAGTTGTCAAAAGTTACCTTCTAGCGTCCTTCCGTTACTTCCTCCCGTCTCAGCCGTCAAAATGGAGGGTAATATTGTCATTTGACTTATACGAAAAGAGTTAATACCAGCTAAGGTCCCTCGAGTTTGGTGGTTTGACCATCTTTAGTCCCAAATTTCGCTGCATCATATTCCATTATTTTCCTTCTTTCGTATTCTCTTCTTCAAATGTATTATTATTACTATTATTTATAGTTATTATTAAATTCTTATTATTATTACTATTATTTAAAGTTATTATTGTTATTATTAAATTATTATTATTAAATTATTATTATTATTATTGTTATTTTTATTATTATATTATTAGCATTAAATTATTATTATTATTATTGTTGTTGTTGTTATTATTATTATTATTATCATTATTATTATAATATTCATATTCATATTATTATTGTTTTTGTTATTGTTATTATTAAATTACTAGTATTTGTCCCGTGCGATGCACGGAAAATATGTTATAAAAATATACCCTATATGAGGTTTATTCATATATAAAATTTTTGTTATTTAATAATTATTATGTGTGAATTCCTATGATAAAATTATGAACATAAATATATTTACAATGAAAATAATATTTAAGGTGGGTGATTACTACAAATCTTAAACTATATTAAAATTTAGTACATAGTATTTAATATTACAAATTTTTAAGAACTTAGTAAACTACAATAGTAATTGAATTACAATTTTAGAGTCACCACGGATCAAAATTTTTAGACCTTTGAGATTTCTAACTCTAGATGTAGCAACATACAATTGACATTTAAAGACCAAAATCACAATCTTAGTTCGAACATTGATTTTTTCTTCCAAATACTATCGAATTAAGTGTGTAATCAATAAAAGATGAGAACTAATAATTTGAGAATATAATCTTAATGTTACTAAGCCACTTCACGTCAATTAAGTTGGAGAGTGTTGTTGGATAGTATCCGATGAATCTACGAATAACGCATCTTTGTCTCCGTAGTCCTCAATATGCACATCAACAATCTTAAATATTAGGCCGCCTAGCTATGCCATATATTAATTTCAAACTTATGAACTTTGGGGTTGCATGCAATAAAAAGTATATTTTAAATATACTAAGGGTGCATTATATATGTATGTAAGGTACTTTCAATATAAAAATAATGTATTTTTAATATATTAAAAATGTATTTGATATTCATGAGCCATACAATTATGTGGACCATCGTTCCTCACAATAATTTGCCAGTAGAAATTGAAATATAAATAAATATAATAAATAAATAAGTAAATATATATATATATATATATATATATATATATATTAGAAACTGTCCGTGGAAATTATTATCATTATTATTATTATTGCAATTATTATTATTATTATTATTATTATTATTATTATTATTATTATTATTATTATTGTTATTATTATAATTAACAATATTATTATGATTTTGTGAAAATTAAATGTTGATTATCAACATTTAATTTTCACAATAACAATATTATTATGGTCTTGTGAAAATTAAATGTTGCACAAGACCATATAGCTTTATTATATATAGGATTATTATTATTATTATTATTTATTGTTATTATTTTTTTTTAAATTATTATTATTATTATTATTGTTGTTGTTGTTGTTATTGTTGTTGTTGTTGTTTTTGTTGTTGTAGAAATGTACAAATGCTATTATTATTATTATTATTATTATTATTATTATTATTATTATTATTATTATTATTATTGTTATTGTTATTATTATTATTATTAAATTATTAAATTATTATTATTGTTGTTGTTGTTGTTGTAGAAATGTGCAAATGCTATATAGGATGAGTGTATTTAATAAAATCAGAAAATTAGAGAAATAAAAATCTGGAGGAATGGAAAAATGGAAAACTGAAAAAATGGAGAAGGAAAACTGGAAAAATGGAGAAGGAAAACTGGAAAAATGGAGAAAGAAAACTGGAGAAATGGAAAACTGGAAATGAAAAAACAGATAAATGAAGTAAACGACCCCTATACATTTGTAAATTTTTTTTAATATTGTATAGGAGAAGAGGGAGTTCGAGTTGGAAGTTGAGAAACCACCAACTTTCTTTAATATTGTTTGGCCAAGTTTGGGACTAAAGATGGCCAAACCACCAAACTCGAGGGACCTTAGCTGGTATTAACTCTTTTCGTATAAGTCAAATGACAATATTACCCTCCATTTTGACGGCTAAGACGGGAGGAAGTAACGGAAGGACGCTAGAAGGTAACTTTTCACAACTCGGAGGATGACGGATGGTAATTACGGAAGTTAGGGACCATGGATGGCGATGCCACCAAACTCGAGGGACCATAGGTGGTATACTAATATTTATTATATATATTTTTAAAATATTTTCAACATAAAAGAATCTAAGCCCCGATCATCGTGGTTCAAACCTAGTTGATCGCTCATTATTGGCATATTTCATAAACCAGATATGCTTTTAATAATTTATTAAATGAAATTAGAAATCTAGAATCAACATATTAAAATCATTATATTTCCAAAAACGATTTTCTTAATTTATTAAATTAAATTAGAAATAAATAATCAAGATATTAAAATCATTAGCGTTAGAACTGATTTTTATATTTTATTTAACTTAAAATAGATGTCAAAAATCAAGATATTAAAATCGTTATTGTCCTAGAATCGGTTTTCATATTTTATTAACTTAAAATAGATATCAAGAATCAAGATATTAAAATTGTTATAGTCTTAGAAACAATTTTCATAATTTATTAACTTAAAATAGATATCAAGAATCAAGATATTAAAATCGTTATAGTTTAATTTTATAATTCATTAACTTAAAATAGATATCAAGAATCAAAATATTAAAATCGTTATATTTTTAAAAATAATTTTCATTTTTTTTTGAAATATTCATGATTCTTTCTCAAACATCTTTATTCGAACCTATAGTCTTTGAAACAATTTTCATAATTTATTAACTTAAAATAGATATCAAGAATTAAGATATAAAAATCGTTATAGTCTTAAAAATATTTCATAACTTATTAACCTAAAATAGATATTAAGAATTAAGAATTAAGATATTAAAATCATTATAGTGGTAGAAACGATTTTCAAAATTAATTTACTTAAAATAGATATCAATATAGTTTTGGAAACGATTTTCATAATTTACTAAATTAAATTAGACACTAAAATCATAGAGATGGTTTCCATAATTTAGTGTATTTAAAGGGGGTACAAATTTTGATTTTTGAGAAAATATTCTATACTAGTGATAATCAACTTTTGTTGTGATTATATAGTGAGTCAATTAGATACAGTCAAGTCGACATTTCCATTTTGCCCCATTTTCCCAAGACCCAACACCGTCATGGCTTCCGACAGATCTGAATCCACCGCTAACGGCGGCGAAATGCCATCCCCAACTCCGGCGCTTCAAACTCCCCGGAAAATCGCACTGATAACTGGCATCACTGGCCAAGACGGCTCATACCTCACTGAACTTCTCCTGGACAAAGGCTATGAAGTTCACGGCCTCATTCGTAGATCTTCGAATTTTAATACGCAGAGGATCAATCACATCTACATCGATCCCCACAATGCTCACAAGGCGCGTATGAAGCTCCACTACGCCGACCTCACCGACGCCTCCTCTCTCCGCCGCTGGCTCGACACCATCCTTCCCGACGAGGTCTACAACCTCGCCGCTCAGTCTCACGTCGCTGTCTCCTTCGAAATCCCTGATTACACCGCCGACGTGGTCGCCACCGGCGCGCTCCGCCTCCTGGAGGCGGTGCGGTCCCACATCTCGGCCACCGGTAGGTCTCATATGAGGTACTACCAAGCCGGGTCGTCGGAGATGTTCGGATCCACTCCGCCGCCGCAGTCGGAGTCGACTCCTTTCCATCCGAGATCTCCCTACGCGGCGTCGAAATGCGCGGCTCATTGGTACACCGTGAATTACCGGGAGGCCTACGGGATCTTCGCGTGCAACGGCATCCTGTTCAACCACGAATCCCCGAGACGCGGGGAGAATTTCGTGACCCGGAAGATCACCCGGGCCGTGGGGCGGATCAAAATCGGGCTCCAAAGCAAGCTCTTCCTGGGGAACTTACAGGCGTCAAGGGACTGGGGATTCGCAGGGGACTATGTGGAAGCAATGTGGATGATGCTTCAGCAGGAGAAGCCGGACGATTACGTGGTGGCCACGGAGGAGTCTCACACCGTGCAGGAGTTCTTGGAGGTGGCGTTTGGGTATGTTGGGCTGAACTGGAAAGATCACGTCGTGATTGACAAGCGCTACTTCCGGCCGACGGAGGTGGATAATCTGAAAGGCGATGCCAGCAAGGCGAAGAAGGTGTTGGGGTGGAAACCCAAAGTGGGATTTCAGCAGCTGGTGAAGATGATGGTGGATGAAGATATCGATATGGCTAAAAGGGAGAAGGTTCTTGTAGATGCTGGATACATGGATGCCCAGCAACAACCTTAATCACTTCCATTCAACTCAACGGTAGCTACAAACAATATCATTTATCTGTTGTTTTCCAGAATCACTTTTCTTCTTCTTCTTCTTAATATACATCGAGTTTTAGTCATTGAGTTCATCATTCAAAATTACAGTAGTTTACTACTTATTATCCAGTTTTACTGCAATTAAGAAATGGTTTGAATTGGTTGTGTCGGCGGCACATACATTTTACATTTCAGCTTATAATGTCACATTTTTTTTTTCTTATTTGTGTTGCTTAGAGCAGCTAGGGTGTGTGAGTGTGTCCAATCTACTGCCTGTTTGGTAAAATGGTTGTTAACTGATTGTGTTAATTAGAGGGTATAAATAGTTGATAATATTAGCTGATTATAAAAAAGTGTTTGGTAACCAAACTAGCTATTAGTTGATAGCTGTTTGGTATAATTTATTTTCTCAAAAAGTTAATTGAAAAAGTTGTTTGGAGTAACTTTTTTAATTTTAGCCTTTTGAAATTGCAAAAAGCAAATTAACCAAATATTTATATTGATATTTTAACTAAATCAAACAATTAATAATGATCAATAAGCCAAAATTGGCTTATAGGCCAATTTTTTTTACCAAACAGGGCTATTGGCGTGATAAGGAATGGGAAGTACAATCTATAATTAAAACGAAAAAAGAAAAGGGATGGAAAATGTGCTAGTAAGTTTCTAAGCAATCTTCTGCCCGTCATCAGTGTCGCTTTGCAAAGAGTCGGATCTGCGAGCATCTTCTGGGTTCACAGAGGCTACTGTAAATGGCTTGATAGAAGATCGAAGTGATTCTGGTCCTTCAGACTCGATCCTCTTGCACAACGCATCGCAGTTGCTGATTACCTCAGTCAATCTCCCTTTCAACTCTCCAAGTTCCACTTGTAATACATGTACTGCAGTGCAATTGAATGAAAGGTTTAATAAGAATGAAGTTTTGTGAATATGCTTAAGCTGTTATCACAAGGGCTTTTTCTTTTCTCCCATCAGCATAATAGTTGTCATTTTTTCAAAGAAAATTAGATACTCCATATACCTTCTGACAGATGCTGTGATGTTGCTTTCATTGCTGAGACTGAGTAGTTGTATCGCTGAAGAAGCTTAATTGCCAATGCATCTACTACTTCTATTTTGTTATCTATCTCTTCCTGCATCAATCACCAAGAAATGGAAATGTTTTATTCCAAGAATTTCTTCATTTTTCCTGTTTTAGCAAAAAACACTTGCACCTTGTTCACTATGTGTATTTAAACAAAAAGGGAGAAAAAGAAAGATGTTTCAGGGGGAATATACTTTTTTTTAGTGTTTAGTTTTGTTTAGATTGTCATAATCGGAAAAAGCTGTAAAATAAGTTAAAACACTTAATACAGGACAAGACTTCAGACATTGAATACAAATGTCTTCAGCATCTTATTCTATTCCATCCTTTTAGGTGCTTCAAGACAAATGATTTACACATTGAACACAAGTAGTAGATAGTGAAAAAATCAACAACCTCAAACAATCAATCAAGTTTCTTTACAGTTGCATCAGCCTATGGTCTCAAATCTGGACCCTTTTTTTTGGGTACATTAAGTGATGAAGTTATAGACTGAAAGCACACAAGTGAAGCTGCTGATATAATGGAGCTTGTTTTATGTGAGGAAAATAGGCTGTTAACAAGAAGATAAATGTTGAAGCACTTTAATGGTTTTTGGTCCTAAGTGAAAGCCTGAAATGGACTCTTCAAGTGGTGTATAAGTCACTAGCATGAGTAAATATTAATGTACCCAGCAAGCATATTTTTTTTTGTACCTCCAAAGCTTCTCTGACCCACCAAAGATAGACTGAAAACAAAGTGTAGGCTAAGAGAACACAGGGAGAAAACTAAAAACAAAATGAATGAAGAAAGCTGGTTTTAGATGGCTATAAATTACTTTCTTAGAGATTGAATCCCATATAAGATGGGAGTGAACATATTACTCAAAGACAAGAGTATACACGGAAATCTGGCAGAGATCCAATCTTCTAACTCTCAGGTTAACCTCACCAGAAAACAATCAAACATGAAGAGATGACTTTTCAACATTGACTGCCTCAAAGATGCATGATATGTGGCAAACCTGTTTTTTATTGATCGTCTGGACCTTATCCTCTTGCCAATTACGGTATGTGGAGAAGAGCTCCAGTAGGACTTTTGGGTCTACACAACCTATAACAAGCACACAAGTATTGACATCATTATTCACCAAAATTATCTCTGCCCACCCCCCCCCCCCCCCCCCCCCCCAAAAAAAAGTGTCTATTTGTTGTTTCATGACCTTATTTTGTACTACCATAACAAAGAGTGCAGAATAACATGAATATAATCGAGTTGAGCAATGGAGAACAGTTAGCAATCCATTAAAATTCTAAACATTAAACAACCATATGCCTGCAGTTCACCCTCAACTCCAAAGTCCAACAGTCTTCAGCTCTTGCACGACTCCAGGTGTCTCTCTCGCTTACTGCTTGCCTTACAAACACACATGCGTGCACCCAGTATTCCCTAAAAATTGCTTGATTAAGTTATAGACAGACAACTATTGCCATTGTGGGTTTCAAGCCAGAAGACATCAATAGGGTACGGCCTCTGGGCACTAACCATTCTAATTAGTACACTCCTCTTGATTAAAGAATAGATACAAATGAAAATTAGCATCTTTGAATTGAACATTCTGCAGAAGATGATTCTGCTACTTCTTGAAATGATTGAACAAAATAAAACGTGATGGAAGAGGGTTGATGCAATGGTATCTACCAGACCAGAAGCATAGACTATAATTCATAGCATAGGATCCTTTTCGACAGAAAGTGAATATGGTTCTTGTGCCAAGGATAGTGGGCATTCCATTACCATTTATCACAACAGAATTAGTCCACTCTCTAGCTTCAGCTCTAAGACATGCTTGCTAATTGCCATAGTTATAAATTTATTGGTTGGATAGTTTACTGTTTACTACTTCAGTTTGGCAGAGATTTTAAACACTTGCATTCACTTCTCTAAAACTGACTGCCAAGAGATGCAAATAGATCAAAAACTCCACCTCAAGTTCAATTACGTGCACATTTTTAAAACACAAGAACTACTCGTATGATCTTTTCGAAATAAAATATTCAACAAGAAGAAGTATAAGCACCCTCTTTAAATACCTGAATTCGAAGCATATGGCGTCTTTCTCACCAATATGTCTGTCAGACTACTCTCTGCTAGTGGCGACGTCAGGATCGGCTTAGACTGCGAAATTGCGAATACAAACACACGCACACTTGAGCTCAACAATGATCGAACAAACAATTAAAAGCCAAAAACAAAATGAAGGCTCACAATTTGAAGGGACCTCAGCCTCTCCAAGACAGGATCTACGCCTTCAGCGCGCTCCGAAACCGTGGTAATCTCATCGACCGGCCTCTTAATTAAATCATAAAAAGTAAAATAATAAGAAAATTTCAATGATTTTCAAATTAACTGGGGAGTTCAGAGGTTGAATTTGAATAAGTACCTGTGAGCTCGAGAGAACTGACTCTGATGCACCCATGGATAGGGTTCTTTTCGAGAGATTCCGATGACCTGTCCTTGCTTGGAACTTGGAAGACGACTATCGCCGATCGAATCGAAGTATCGAACCGCCGAGTCAGTCCGGTTGTTCTGCGACCATCTAATGGGTGGGGGCGGGTCATTTTGCCCCGACTGTTTCTAACGAATTTTATAATTTCTAGATGGGAAAATACCTGAGATTATTTACACTTCAAAGTTCAACCATTCTAAGCAACTTTACATTCACCACTTATAAATAATCACCTTTTAACGTCACAATTATATGTTTGAATTGTTATTACATGTTTTTTATATGATATTTTGCCACATCAAAATAACTTGTAATTTTACAATATAACATTTTCATTTACACTTTTAACTATGTATTTATTTATTATTATTAAAGTACGGAGTAATTTTTTTGTGAGTAGCATGTCGATGGTAACTCCCTTGTATTACTTCCCATAACTGACACTTGTGTGTTAATAAGAAGTGGAGGACTAGTGATATCGATATACGGAACGTATATAACAACTTTTTGACATTTTTCAACACCAGTAGTGTATTTTTTGACCTTCGGAACTAAAAAGTAAACCCTATTTGGACGAACAAGCAACACGTGAAGTGTAATCTCAATCATCACATCCATATGAATTTCTTCAGCACTAACATGTGGCGTAACCGACTTGACTGACTTGTAGTGAGCGCAACATGTCCATTGTCAACGAGAATTTTCACATATACTCACTGGTCCAGTTCTATATAAGATAGCTTGTTCCACAGTAGAGGAGATTTCAAATTTAGAACATTTTTAACATTTGCCTACTTGTTGAGGGCTTTTCGACCTTCTTAACTCCTGAACCTCGTGTGTCAATAATTATATATATAAAAACTCATCTTTTATTAACAAGTACATATTAATCTCTAATGTAGTAACTTAAGATAATTAAGTATGAAAATTCAGTTCCAGTTTGGACATGAATATTTTATTTTTTTTCAAATTATATTCTTAAAATTATTCAAATTTAACATTCAACTTTAAAATCAAATATTCATACTTTTAGTGGTGGTGGTGATTAAAAAAAAAGGTTCTACATGGTTCCTATAATTTGCAAATCAAATTTGAAATCGTTATATGATTTTGATTCAGTTTTAGTTTTAATGTGTGTAATATTTAGTTTAATTTAAATTGAACGGATGTTATTTCTATCGAAATTATTATGTACATTATCTCAAAATATCATTTGAACCAAACACTTCTTAGGAGATCATAAAACCATGAACTATATATGTAAGTTGTTTTATTGGTGTTTTCCTCCTCTTTTGAGGTTTTATTTGGTAACCCTAAAAACAAAGTGAAACTTCAACCAAATTTCATGATTCCAGCCACATTAGAACAGGAATTCTCTTGGCTTCAATCACATAAAAATTTGAAACCTTAATTCAAAATCTGTGAATTGATACAGAATTTCAAAAGTTAATTAGAAAACACATCCTTCTAATACACATACCCGGCAAAAAAACTGAATAACTGAAAAGAAAAACCGTCCCTGTATCCCTCTGATCTGTAGATAAGAACGACACCTCTCAATCCGATTCACCTTATAATCGACGACTATATACAATCCACGTTTCAATCCCCTTTCAATCGAATCAACCAATGGGATTTGAGAAACTTGGATTGAAGTGATTCTTGCCGGTTATAAATATGGAAAGATACGGCTGCAATGATCATAGAGTTGTGTGGTGACGTTTCTACAGAGGTGTTTGTGATTGTTGCAATGGCGTCAATCGGAGAAGTGGAGAAACCTAATCTGGAGCAGCCGGCCGGGGAGGCTCAAGCGGCGGCGAAGCCTGTTAAGGAGAAGAAGGTCAGGGTTCCGAAAGAGAAAAAGGCTAAAGCCGCCAAAACTGCGACTCATCCTCCTTACTTTCAGGTGCGCATACAGTTTCAATTACTCGTATTTGATTATGCATTTATGCCCTATTGATTTTGATCGAACTCATCGATTCGAACCGGTTGCGTCGATTGCCGAGAAATTCTCTGTTATTTTTATGTGTGTTTAAGCTGAGAAACATGATTGATTTCAGAAACGGAATTTGTAGAAATTGAATTGGTTGAATTGATGTTTAATCGGAGCAGTGCGATTGAGTTTTGGAAATGAAATTTGTGCAGATGATCAAGGAGGCTCTGTCGGCTCTGAACGAAAAGAACGGCTCGAGTCCATACGCGATCGCGAAGCACATGGAGGAGAAGCACAAGGGCGAACTGCCGGCGAATTTCCGGAAGATTCTGGGCCTGCAACTGAAGAACAGCGCCGCTAAGGGCAAACTGATCAAAATCAAGGCTTCCTACAAGCTATCCGAGGCGGGTAAGAAGAACAAAACGGCAGCGAAGAAGCCGAAATCGAGCAGTGCCGCCGCGGCGCCCAAAGCGGTTGAGGAAGCGAAGGCGGCGGCGGTGAAGAAGGGTGGTATCCAGAAGAAAGTTACGGCTAAGAGGAGCAAGAAATCTACTCCGACGAAGCCGAAGCAGCCCAAGTCTATCAAGTCTCCGGCGAAGAAAACCAGGAAGGCCGTTGCTGCATGAGAGTTGTGTATATATACAGTTTAAATACATAATTAAAACGAATAAAGCTACTGTGTGAATTACCTCCCTATTAAATGTAAGAAAAGTCCTCTTTTTCTGTATATGTTTGTAGGATTATAACATCTTAGATCTTTGTTTCTGCAAATTATGTAATCAAACTTGTTTGCAGCTTCAAATTACTTAGCTAAACATCAACCTAAACCCTTACCCTCAATAACATATCTCTCCCAAATGGAAGAGCAATATACAATCAATCATCTTAACAGATCTCCCAAGACCCAAGATGGTAAAATATTACGCAGTAAAGTTTAATATACAAGAATGAAGGCACACCATCAAAGCAATAAATACCCAGAAAAATATACATTCCTTCTTCCCACATCTTTACTACAAAATAGAAATCAAGCTGCGCTTGAAGCTATAGCTCGGTGAAGTACGGGTTCTTCCAAAGTCGAGCCCAAACACTTCCTTTGGAGCCTTCTCCACCTCCATGAACCTCACGAGCTTCGCAACTAAGTAGGCACTGTCAGAGATGTGGTTCATATCGTCGGTCCTGGTCCACAACCGGTTAACCAACTGCACCCTCCGGGTTTTTGAAGTAAGCCCGATTCCCCACTTCAGGTAGAGGCTCACGCGTTCTTGTTCTGTTAGCTTCTTCAGCATTTGCTTCGTCAGCATCCGTTTCTCTGCTCGAAGATCCTTAATGCTGTTTTTCGTTTTAAATAAAACAAGATTCTTAAACACCTTTTCTAGCTAAAAAAAAAAAGGTTTTCGGATTGGGATTTAGTATACTATTATTACCTTTGTTCAATTGATAAGATACGTCCATTCAAGACCGTCTTCTGGCCACGAACATATGCGTCCTTGAGGAAGGAGAGTCTCCTCAACTCTACCTCCATATAGATAGAGTCAGAGGAATCGCCTTGGAAAAGTAGGAAGAAATATGTTCGGTGAACAAGCGAAACATTGCAAACATGCCACAGTTCGATTATCTCTTTTCGGAGTCTCTTGAATTCCGATGGCCAATTGGTAAGACTTCTGAGTTCATCTTCTATTGGGTCCAGGCCGACATCTTTTACACTCTTTTTTGGCTTATCTGCCCCTCGCTCAGTTTGCTTAACCTGCAGCATACAAACATCACACTTACTTCCAAAAGTTTTCACGTGCAAAATACAAATTGTTGCATAATCTGAAAAAGTAAAAATGGCCTCGAGTTTCTCTCTTTTAATGGATTTTGCTTAACTGAGTCATGATTTAGATACAAAAAGAGATAAACCATAAAAGCTCAGGGGCGACTATTGACTCCTTGTGCTTCAGTAGGTTGAGAAAGTAGTTATGAACAGATACTGCACTGTATCTGTTATCTGTTCATAACTACTTTGCTTAACTGAGTCGACCTTGTGGTCTAGTGGCACCAAGTTGCTCCCCATATAGGAGGTTGTGGATTCGAGCCTTAGGGGAGGCAGACTATTGACTCTTAGTTATGAACAGATACTTCATTGTAACTTGAGTCAGTAGTACTCAAAAAAAAAAAAAAAAAGCTCAGGGGGCGAGGGGCGGGGGTCGGGATAATAGATAGCACTCACAGCCACAGCAAAATCAGTGACGTCCTCCTCACGTTGAAAAGCAGTCATTTCCTTAGTCCCCGCATCGCATGTATAGCCAGTAATAGCATTATCATCATCGGAAGTTTTCTCTTTTGGCGGTGCTTCAAGCTGAATATCAACACCGCTGTCTGCAGAAAGAGTGAAATGCTCTTCTTCCATGGAGGCTTTGATGCTTGCTCCAGAGTTGAACGAAGAAATTTCCTTTTCAAAACCCTGAGGTTCTTCATTCAATTTTCTCTCTGAGCCAGTGTCCTCAGGGTATTCTTCCTCTTCGTTCCATGGAGATGATGGATCGATAACTAGATCTGCTTCACAGCTTCTACTTATCGTTATTCTTGAGCCTCTCAAGTCAGATGAATCACTTTCCATCGGTAACTCCTCATCTACCTTTGATGCGTCTTGTGCCGATTTTCCGCCATCCTCGAATGACGGTGACGCTAATTCTTGCTCATCCTCAACAGGTAAGACCGATTCTCGATTAGATTTCCCGTCTTCATCGAATGATGATGCAAATACTAATTTGTGGTCTAATTTCAATGGCACTAACGATGATCCGCTATCTTCCTCGATTGGAGGTGATGCTGGTATACTGTACGGCGATAGATTTCCCCGAGCTGTTTTTCCAATAGCAATTCTTGCTGAAAATCCACTGTTTTCTTCAAGAAACGGATAGCTCAATCTTACCGGTTCATTAACTTCTGAATCTTCTATATCAATACACCGAACTTCCTTGCATAGATCCTCCGAAATCCTATCACTTTGTTTTTCTAGATCATCCCATCCCTGACAAGAATCGGTTTCACTATAGGTTGAGCTACTAACTATTACTCGTTGAGAAGAATTGTTATGAAGGAAATCCTCTTCAAAGCTCGAGACACGTATAAATTGCTCGTCAGAGCTACTCCGGCTGTGTCCATCGGAACATGTTCTGACGTCAGCATCCATCGAGTGAGGAACCGTCATAATGGACATCTCGGGTGCAGGGCACTGATCATCCGCTGACCTTAGTACTCGCAAATTCGGGTAGTTCCCCAAACCAACCTGGAGAACGGTACGTAGAAGAACTTTAGCCCGAAGAAATGAAATATAGATGGTAAACATAAGTTTCGATGGTTATATTTACCCGTATCACTGAACTTTCATCATCCCGAACCTGGAGAAACATTAGAAAACTTTAGCCAGGAGTGTTAAGGAATATATATTTGATATATAGAATCTTTATATATTAGGCAGTTTAGGGTTTTAGGTAGGTAGGACATATGAAAACTTGTTTCCTATTCATAGTCTTCTAGCACCTATTTATATGGCTTTGTATTCTCTGTTCTATATGACAGTTTGAGACAATATACGACAGCACATTAGAAACTCTCTCTCTTCACTTTCGTAACAAGGAGAAAGGGAAAACAGATAGTTTTCGATGGTTATATTTACCCGTATCACTGAACTTTCATCATCCCGAACCTGGAGAAACATTAGAAAACTTTAGCCAGGAGTGTTAAGAAATATATATTTGATATATAGAATCTCTATATATTAGGCAGTTTAGGGTTTTAGGTAGGTAGGTAGGACATGTGAAAACTTGTTTCCTATTCATAGTCTTCTAGCACCTATTTATAAGGCTTTGTATTCTCTGTTCTATATGACAGTTTGAGACAATATACGACAGGACATTAGAAACTCTCTCTCTTCACTTTCGTAACAAGGAGAAAGGGAAAACAGATAGTTTTCGATGAATATATTTACCCGTATCACGGACTTCCTTTCCTCCCCGAGCATTTGCTTCAAATCCCTAACTTGAGCTTGAGCAATGTCACGCTCCATTCTCAATTCTTTTACCTCCTTCTCAAGCTAGAAAGAACAAAGAGTGATAATGCATCTAAGATATTCATAATCTCCCCGGGTGAAGTAATGAAGTAATCGATTACCTTTTCGATTTGCAGATCCTTCTCTTGCAACAAAGCAGCATTATCCGACGTTTCAAAATTCTCAGAGGTTGGACTCTTCAACTCACTCTCGAGCCTCGCCAACTCCCTTTGCAAATGCTTTACTAAAATTTTGTCCGACATAACTACATTGACTTGAGCATTAGTAGTCACTTCCTTGGCACAACTAGCAAAAAGAAGCGTATTTCTGGATTGCTCAACATGAGACCGTGCAGGGCTCATCGTACAGATGATCGCTGTCTTGGCATTGCCTCCTAAGGATGTTTGTAGTATCCGAGTTAGCTTCGAATCTCTGAAAGGAATGTGCCCGTTTCTCCCCTTGCTGTTTCCCGTCACACAACCCCATTAAAAAAAAAAAAACAAAAAACAAAAAAAAAAATTAGTAGAATATTTTGGCGTAAAGCTAGTTCCCATTTTTATTTTTCCAAACACAGAAGAAAATATGTTGAATTGTGAAAAGTAAAGGGAAGTTAATGACCTTAATTTGCGAATCACAGTGCCCAGGGTCAATAAACTACGGTTTATATGACAGCCTTCTTTCAGCCGGGCCCCAGCTGATAAAGATTGAGATGCACGCTCACTTCCGGCCAAATCAACAAAATTCTGTATTAGAATGCGAAAAAACAAGATAAGTAATCCTCAATAGTGTGTAGTACAAATGAATATAGTCTAGAAAGCGAATTTCGTAAAAGAGATGCAACATACCACGGTAGCTATAAGAGAGTTTGAATTGTCCCTCCCTAAGAATTCGCGAACTGAGCTTTCGACGGTCTGCAACGATTCATCAGTTCAGTGAAACTCTAATAACTTTATAAGGACTTAAGCTCATTAAACCGATACACAAGACTGATATTCAACAAGCATACCAATCTGATTATTTGGTGAGATCGAGAGCTCGTTTCATTTAGGTTCGTTTCCCCAATCTGTCTTTGAGCTGTGAAAAGTTGATCGAAACTTTCAGCAACACATAGAGAAATTGAAGCATGTGCTCCATCTCAACTAAAAGCTGGCTCTGATACCAAATTGAAGCATGTGCTCCATCTCAACTAAAAGCCTAAGCTGATAGTTGGGTTGCACATTAATGGTTATATGCTCACAGAGCCACAACCACTAGTTAAGGTAAAAATTACTAAGGTCCCCGTTAGGCCGTTACCTTCGCATATGGAAAGAAGATCCACCACATGGTTCCAGTCCTCCACAGTTTCTTCAGTGAGTTTCTCAACAACCGTCCCTCTCTGGTAAAAGTACCCATTTGTCATCACGCAAAAATATCTCTTCTGAACCAATTAGTTCATCGGGGAAAAACATCACTCACCTCGGGATCATCCAGAAGTCTAAGTGGAGTGACATCTGAAGAGAGAAGGTCCCTAACAGACTCGTTGTAGATCTCCATAGCCGACAACTTCAAAACATAATCTCTCTCGGTATGCTGGAGAAAAGCAAAACAGCACACCATATAAGCAAGTAAGATTACAATAAACGCCACAATTGATCAAACATTTAACCTTTAACTTACTTTTTGTATATGGTCATATATATCGGAAATGGCATACTCTGTAATTCCAGTCATGG